GTAGTGTTGTTTTTTTTAATTGATTTTAGAGAGAAACATCAATTTGTTGTTCCACTTATTTATGCACTCATTGGTTGATACTTGTATGTGTCCTGACCAGGGATGGAACCTACAACGTTGGCATTTTGAGATGACACTCTAACCAATTGAACTACCTAGCCAGAGCAGAGTTGTTACTTTAAAGTATGCTAAGTCATACAGTTTTACCTTGCCTATATTTAAAATACACAAAGAAAGACAAAAAATATACCAAAATATCAACAGTAATAAACATTAATATGCTTTCCATTTAATGTATGTTTATGATCAGAAAGTTGATTTTGTTTAGATCCAAGGTTTCTCTCATTTCATCATCTGCTCAATCCCCTACAATCTTTACACAAACCCCTATGCCAGTGATGGCGAACCTATGACACGTGTTTTTTTGGTTGATTTTTCTTTGTTAAATGGCATTTAAATATATAAAATAAATATCAGAAATATAAGTCTTTGTTTTACTATGGTTGCAAATATCAAAAAATTTCTATATGTGACATGGCACCAGAGTTGTTAAGAGTTTTTCAAAATGCTGACACGCCAAGCTCAAAAGGTTCGCCAGCACTGCCCTATGCGGTACTTTAAAAGACTAGCAGTGACTGTTTTTATCTTTATTTTTTAAAAATAGATTAACAGGCCCTGGCTGGCTTGGCTCAGTGGATAGAGCGTCGGCCTGCGGACTGAAGGGTCCTGGGTTCGATTCTGGCCAAGGGCACATGCCTGAGTTGCGGAGGCAACCGATCAATGATTCTCTCTCATTGTTGAAGTTTCTATCTGTCTCTCCTTCTCCCTTCCTCTCTGAAACCAATAAAGAAATATATTTAAAAAAAAAATAGATTAACATTCTCATCAATAAAGTACAAAATAAGGTTTTAGAGAAAAGTCTCCCAGCCACTTACTTTCTGTGAGAGTTTATTTCTGTGAGGTTTTATGTACATACTAGAGGCCTGGTGCACGAAAATTTGTGCACTTGGGGGAGGAGGAGAGCCCTCAGGGGATGTCCTACTGACGGCTTAGGCCTGCTCCGCCTGGGAGTGGGCCTAAGCAGCAATCTGGCCTCCCTCTGCTGCCCCCATCATGCTGCCACTGCTGCCCGCCTCCCTCTGCCGGAGGTGACCCGTGGCCCCCCCCGACCCCCATCGCCCCTCTGCTGCCTTCCCCCCATCGCCGTCCCCTCCCTCTGCCCCCTGGCACTTGCCTGGCTGGCCTGGCACTGCCTGCCCACCAACTGATTGTTCCACTGTTTAGTCAATTTGCATATTACGTTTTTTTTATATATAGAATTAGAGGCCTGGTGCATGGATTTTTGCACTGGTGGGGGGGGGCGTGACCTGCAGGATCAGCCTGCTGTGGGAGCGCCACTCATCCTGGTCAGCTGAGCGGCTCTCCCACTGTGGGAGCACACTGACCACCAGGGGGCAACTCCTGCATTGAGCATCTGCCCCCTGGTGGTCAGTGCATATCATAGCTACTGGTCGACTGATTGTTCTGGTCGTTCCACCATTCAGTCGCTGGGCTTTTATAGATATAGATAAGAAAGTAAATGTGTGACATATTACATAAATAACACTTTCTGTACATTTTACATACCACAGTGTATCCAGGAAATTATTTTCTTAAGGGCATTTAAGTTTTCTAATTTTTTCAATCACTTGTGCCTTCTTTCATAAGCCTTTCTGGATGTTTTAAGCTCATGTTTCATTTTTGGGTATTTCCTGATTCTTCTCAAGTCTCCCTTGCAGGATTCCATCTCCTCAGGGTTCCATCCTCGGTCCTCTTCCTAGGAGTTCCAGCCTCCCACTACTGTCTGTCCTGGTGACTCACAAATAGGGAATTTACAACCCAGACTTCCCCTGAACTCCATACCCATGTGTCCAGTTCCCTAGGGATTCTTTCATCTGGACATCCCATAGGAAACTTGGTATCCCTTTTGTTATTCCTTACACACTTCCCTCCTCAAGCTGTTCCTTTCTTATTCCCTCAAGCTACATGGTTCCCATTTCTCTAAACCAGAACCTCAGTTCCGCTCCATCATCTTCTATACTCAATAGCTAAGCCTGCAAATTAGAACGACTTTAACAGACCGGATGGGTAGCTTGGTTGGATAGAACATCATCCAGACCCACCAAAGTTGTGGGTTTGATCCCCATCAGGGCACATAACAATCAACCAATGAATGCATAAATAAATGATCAACAAATCTGTTTCTCTCTCCCCCTTCCTCTCTCTCTAAAAAATCAAGAAAAAAACATTTTTTAATAAAAAGAACCACTTTAACATTTTTCCCCTCCCAGGTTCCTCTTTGATTTCTATTCTGCAGTTTGGTTCAGCAAACATGTACATCACATTTAAATGCTTTATGGTAGTTTTTAAAAATATATATATTTTTATTGATTTCAGAGAGGAAGGGAGAGGGAGAGAGAGTTAGAAACATCAATGATGAGAGAGAATCATTGATTGGCTGCTTTCTGCACACCCCCCACTGGGGATCAAGCCCGCAACCCGGGCATGTGCCCTTGACCAGAATTGAACCTGGGCCCCTTGAGTTCGCAGGCCGATGCCCTATCCACTGAGCCAAAGTGGCTAGGGCGCTTTATGGTAGTTTTTTATAATTATAGTTAAAGTGGAATTTCACTGGTTGAGAGAAATTGTCTAAAAGGTGATTTCACCCAGTAAGCTGGGAGGCAAAATGGCTTAAGATGCAATATGGCTAATTCCTCCTCACTTGGCTTTTGGCATATTGGGGTCATTTCATTCTGTATAATAATTTTGGATTCTCTGTCAGATACAATCATAGAAAATCATCTAAACCAGCGGATCTCAACCTGTGGGTCGCGACCCCTTTGGCGGTCGAATGACCCTTTCACAGGGTCGCCTAAGACCATCCTGCATTTCAGATATTTACATTATGATTCATAACAGTAGCAACATTACAGTTATGAAGTAGCAACAAAAATAATTTTATGGTTGGGTCACAACATGAGGAACTGTATTTAAAGGGCCAGAAGGTTGAGAACCACTGCCCTAAACCAAATGGGCCCATTTTAGTGGCGTAGTATACTACTTTGGTGGGTGGTAATAACAGTTGACCTTTTTTTATATTTTGGGGTGTTGTTATTTTTTGTTAATCCTCACCCAAGAATATTTTTTCCATTGATTTTTTTTTCTAGTGAGAATGGATGGGAGGGGGAGGGAAATAACAGAGAGAGAAACATCAACAGGTTGCCTCCCGCACATGCCCCAATCAGGGCTGATTGAGCCTGCAACCAGGTATGTGCCCTTGACCAGGAATCAAACCCGTGACCCTTTGGTCTGCATGCCAGCGCTCTAACCACTGAGCAGCTGGCTAGGGAGAGGTGTGTGTGTGTGTGTGTGTGTGTGTGTGTGTGTGTGTGTGTGTGTGTGTAATACAAAAGGAATACCTGCTAGTAAAAAAAAAAAGAAAACTTCATATAGATACGAATAAAGTAGACAGCATTCCCCTAGTTCCTTTCCTGAGAGGTTACTTTCTCAGCATTTACTATGTCCCAAGCACTGCTCTACAACAGCTCTAGTAGGTGGGTAATATTTTTTTCCACTTCATAGATGAGGAAACTGAGGCACAGAGAAATTAAGTGGCTTGCCCAAGGTCACACAGGTTATAAGTGGCAGAGCCAGGCATCTGTCTCCATAGCCCAGCTCTCCTCAGTTGACTTCTTAGGTTTTCACATGTGCTGATTTTCATCAGAAGAAGGAAGAATGGCAGAGATGTCTAGAGAAAAGTAGAAGGAAGGAAAAGGTACAATAGGACTGCATGCATCCTGACTGAAACCAGGGCTTCTGAGGAGGAAATAAGGCAGTGAGAAATAATGAAGAAGCAAGTGAGAAGTTGTGGTGGTGTGGGTATCACAGACTCTATAAATCTGTTTCCTTCTCTGTAAATGGGGGGAGGATATGGTGGTGCCAGGAATAACAAGTATGGTCTCAATAAATGATAGCAATTAATAGAGTAGGATCCTTGGATTCTGTATGGGAGGATGAAGATGTCACTAGCTCCTATCCTCATTTTAGAGCTATCAGCATCTCCCTTCCGTATACATGCTTGATTAATGCTATTAAACTTGGTAGATTCACTGCAAGAATGCCTTTGGCAGTTAAAACTAATTTGCATCACTGTAAATTGATCAGAACGTGATAAAAATTGCAAGTTTCAGAGTCAACCACAGAGCAAGAATGGCAATAAGGATTATTATAGTATTCACACTGTAGACTTATTAAATCAGTATTCAGAATCTTCAGATGTGATACCCTTGGATGAATTCGAGTTCTGAATTTCAGGATCTCCAAAGAAGGAGATTTTATGTATGAAAAAGGAACCTAATTTAATGTCTAATAGTCTCTCGCCTGTCATTCTCACATATAACCCAGATTGATCTTTGTTTTGAATTAAGGCCTTGACACTTCACTTAACCCATTCCAAGTGTCAAGATAATCTTAGTAAAGAGTTAATAATACCACACGTGGAAATGTATAGTGCTGCCAACATCTCCTAGTGATCTTATAGGAAAAGTAAAACTTCCATATTTTCCTTGTGTCAGTCTCTTGGGCCTTGAGGTAGACTCAGCCTAAAAGAGGGTGAGGGGTATCTTCACTCTGCATTTATAGTTAAAGCTAACCCTAAGGGAACAGACTTGGGAAAAGAAATAGGGGAGATACAGTTTCTTCACTTCTATCTTATGAACTGTAGTTTCTGTCTCTGGAAAAGAAAGAGTTCACATCTTTATTCGTGGTGTAACATTCCACCCTTGGTATCTATTAGTATATTGTTTCTAAAGGCTTAATCATTTTTCATTTATTTATAACTGTGATCTAAAGGCTGCCCCTATATGTGGGTGTCTTTGCTGGGTATTTATGGTAGAAGTTTTTGTTTTTTTCTGTATGTTTCTGAAAGCTTGTCTTTTCCTTTTTTCTTTTGTCATCTACAGGTTCGAGAACTTGTCCTGGACAATTGCAAATCAGATGATGGGAAAATTGAGGGCTTAACAGATGAATTTGTGAACTTAGAGTTCCTCAGTTTAATAAATGTAGGCTTGATTTCAGTTTCAAATCTCCCCAAACTACCAAAATTGAAAAAGGTGAGTGCTTTTTCTTTAACAGTAAAAAGGAACCATACCGGGAAGGGAAAAATACATGGTTTTACCTGTAAGGAAGCATTTAATGTAGCAGAAACCACATAGCCTTTGGAACTGGGCATATCTGGGATTGAATTCCAGTTCTATCATTTCCTTGATGGGTGATCTGCAGGTTACTTAATCCTTGTAAGGCTCAATTTCCTCACCTGTAAACTGGTGATACCGCCTGACCTTACAGAATTGTTGTGATGTTTGGAAATAATACATGTTGGATGCTAAATAAATATTAGCTATGAAGAATAATTATTTTGTGAATAATTTATTGTTATAAATTTGTTATAATCTTAGACACTTTTGTTCTTAGTATGCTCTGGTTTAGGAAACAGGTGCCTATCACTCATGTTTTATGTTTGTTGATTAAGGATGAGTTTGAGTAGTAAAGACTTTTCAGATTTATAGTCTTTGATAATTCAAACCCATTACATAATTTTAATGACTAGAAGTTTAAAATGTGCTATGACTTGCTGCAAGAATCCATTGTAACAAAGCTTTTGTATTTCTGTATCCTAGCTGATGGTCTGTTGTTAGCTCTTCATTAGTCTAACTGCAACCAATCACTATTGCCCTCCAATCCACCCCCTACTTTAAAAAAACAAGAGACATGTTTTCTTGTGTCCTTGAATATTTATCTGTCACAGAGCTCCAGAATGTCAAAACTGGAAGAAACTTCATCTTCCAGCCTAGCTCCTTATTTTATAGACACATCAGTAAATTTAGAAAGGTATAGTAATTTGCCTAAAGACACCCACAAAAGTGGTTCGTGCTAGAGCCAAAACTAGAATCCATATTTCCTATTTCCTAACCCAGTACCTTTTTTTTTTTTTTTTTTTTTAAACATTCAGAAAGGTATGTGATTATGTTTAGGTATTCACTTTATTAGGGAATTTATGTTGAAACTTTGTCTAAACAAAGATATACACAGAAAAAAATTCATAATCAAATTTAAGCAAAGGGGCAGGTACGCTGTTCCTGTAGCTTGCTTTTGAGTCCTGAGGGGAATTGTTTTTTACTTATGCACATGAATTAAAACAAGAAATGCTTTCTTTGCTTTATTTAAGTAATAAATGCTCAGGTACTCCATGGTTTTCAGGGTGCCCTGCTTCCTATATCAAAGAATCATGTTATATTTAAATTGGTAAATTTTTTCCTTTCCTCTCGTAAGTATGTGCTTTAGAGATTCAAGAGTCATCCTTTTTATTTGCATTGGTTATTGGTGACACTGGAAGCTCTGATTAGTTCAGTAAACAACTGGTGGCTTTTTATCTATCTACATAAACTTGATGCTAGCAGATCCTAGTAGTATGTGTTTTGTGTTCTGTTTTCCTAGCATCCTGATACATTTTCCTGAATTATTATGGTCAGTATACTGTCAGACTTAGAAAGTAAATGTATCAGTGACCATCTGTATGTATATAGGCTTAATCAAATCCTTTTGAAGTCTTATTTTAATTTGTTACTTATAGAATTAGTGAGGGAGGAATGGAGACATCTATAAATCAGACTTAAAAGGCAGATAGATGTTCTTACAGTTGATGTGGACTTTGTTTTCTTCCTACCCCAGAATGGCTTGTTTTATAACAAGAAAACAGGATCTGAAAGAAATTTGGTGTATAAATGTCACAGGTTTCCTAAATTTACACATTGCTTTTATTTCAAATAAATATACCATTAAGTCCTCTGGTGGGATTGCCTTGTTATTTCTGCTCCCTAAGATACTCATGTTGAAAGGATCTATTACATATGTGTTGATATTCTGACCAACAAAAATAAGTGTTCTCTTTTTATTTTGATTTACTAATATCTCAATAAAGGTAACACTTGGGGCTTTGTTGATTATAGAGTTATATTTTTAAATCTAGATGATTAAGATATTAGACTGGAATATCACATTGGAAGGAAAATTTTTTTCGGAAATGTTGCATTCTCCTGAAACAGTAACACCCAAGCACCAGACTTCATTTATATATATATACATATATATATATTTTTTTCTTTCATTGATTTTGGAGAAAAGGGGAGAGGGAGAGAGACATAGAAACATGATGAGAGAGAATCATTGATTAGCTGCCTCCTGCATGCCCCTCACTGGGGATTGAGCCCACAACCTGGGCATGTGCCCTGATCGGGAATCGAACTGTAACCTCCTGGTTCATAGGTTGATGCTCAACCACTGAGCCACACTAGTTGGGCTTGAATTGTTTTTTAAACTCACTCTTTCAACAACTATTTAAATTAAAGAGTTCCTCTATTCTGCTCATTATTTCATTGCATGCTATAGATGAAATTACATGATGTTTTCATGCTCTTCAAGGTACACAGCATAGTGCAGAGGGCATGGATTCTTCTGAAACTATCCTGCCCAGCTTCAGATCATAGGTTTCCCACTGTAACAGCTGTGAGCTCTTTGGCATATCTCACTGTCTCTCTGTAGTTCATTTTCTTCATCTGTCAGTGGGGGTAATAATTCTACCTACCCCATTGGTTTATTGTGAGATTAAGTGATCATGTAGTATTTCTAGTGCTTTCAATAGTACCTGGCACTTAAGTACTAAGTAAGGGTTAGATATAATTACCGTTGTTGGCATTTAAAAAGGGGATTGATACCAGCTGTATGGTCTAAGTTTTCTCATCTGCAAAATGAAGAATTTGAATTAGATGCTCTCGACCATCTAATTTTTCCATGCTCCAGTATCTTTCACTCTAATATTTCTTGCTGAAGGCTCATTTCCTCTATTGGCACACCGTTTGCTGTGTTACTTGACCCGCAGCTAAGAAATTAGAGCAGGTTCTTGTAAAGGCCAGGTTTATGCAAGAAGTGGCCTCCAGGGAGTTGGTTGTATCAGCCCTGAAGCTGTTGCCCCACTCCCTTTCCTGAGGTCATGGAGCTTCTTTAAGGGTGTGTTTTGGGGCTTGTCCTCCTACAGCCGTCAGAGCAGATTCCCTGGTGGCTTCCAGATGTAGAACTCCACAATGTGTCAATGCTGTAAGGACCAGATTAGGTTCCAAGTGGGCACAGCAAGCTTTGCTTGGCACACACTTAAATAAGCTGCTTAGAATGCATGGACCAGTTTACCCTTCCTGGCAAGTATAGCATATTACAACTTCTTAAAGAATTCTAATTTGCTGTGACCCACTTTTTAGGTTAGAAAATACATTCACTTGAGCAAACTGTTATAATTAGCATCTGGTTAAGAAAACACAACACTTCTCATCCTATCCTGTCTCTCCTCCCCTGGAAATGTTGCTGGGATCCGTAAACTACTTATTTGGTTTTAATCAAACAAAATGAACATACATGCACTGATAAAAACAGAGATTGTTTGGTCTTGGTAAGTATTTAAAAACTGTATTTGCTCTTTAGAACACCTTAATGATATATGTCTCTCTGTATATTTGTGTGTGTCTTGTGTGCATTTTCTCTCACAGCTTGAGCTCAGTGACAATAGAATCTCTGGATGTCTGGACATGTTGGCAGAAAAACTTCCAAATCTCACACATCTAAATTTAAGTGGAAATAAACTGAAAGATATCAGTACCTTGGAACCTTTGGTAAGTAATTAAGAATTTGGAAACTGAGACTTACTGGTCATTTTCATTTTCATATTTCTTTATAGTAAGGGAAGTGATTGGAAATAATTGATTATCTGATACTGTGGTGGCTTTCTTCAAACAAGGGGAATTCTTTTTTGTTTTCTTTTTTTTTCCTTTTAAAATTTCATCTGTTTATGAAATTAAACATTTATCCCCCCCCCCCCCCCCGCACCCCCCAGACTGGCTAAGCTATTCTATACTTTTCTAGAAAAAGCTGTTTATATTGGGTGGCATATCTGAATTGCAGATGGAACAGAAGTCCAAGGACAGTTCCAATAAGTTTTAGATCTCCTAATTCATGATCTTGGGCGCTAGCTGGATCACTGTTGCCCAAAGTTTTTCAAGAGAACCCCCAAATCCTCCTCAGTCTTACATACTTGGATAAGCTATGGAAAATTAGTTAAGTTTAAGTGTCACGAGTTACAGACTTGCTGTGTGACCTTGGGCAAATTGCTTCTTTTCTCTGGGCCTCAGTTTCCTCACTTAGGAGTTCTGGAAATAAAATAAGGCAATGCACTTACTTTGCTTTGTTAGCTGGAAAGCTGTGCTAATGGGGTCCAGCCCAGGTGGAAGTTGTGGTGGCCATAAAAGAGCTTTTAGAGGCAGGGCTTAATGCAGGGTGTGGGGGAGCCCCACAGGCTCCTCTTTTGGCTGGCACCTGGAAATGTCTATGAATTCAAGATTGATAAATGACTATTTTACCTAAACGTGGCATTCTAAAAATTTGGCATACAGGGAGAATTCCATTTTAATGATGCTGACTTGGTGTACATAAAGTCAGTGTTTCCATTAACTTCCAAACATGAATTGGGAGAGGGTTACACAGTAGGTAGGAGTTGTCTTTCAGGATTCAGAAGAACAGAACCCAAGATAAGCCATCCTCTGCTATTCATCTTTTCTGATGTCACAGTATATTTATATATTTGGATTTCATATTAGTTGTACAGGATGTTCTATTAATATTTCAAGGGAAGATAAGGTTAAATTATGACTTCTTTCAATAAAGAGGGTTTCCTGTCAGAATTATAGGGTTTTTCCCTCCTAATTAATAGAGGTGCTGTGCCAGTGTGGATTAAGCATCTTTTACTGAGTCACTTTATGTGTACATTTCATTAAGTGACTTATGTCTAGTTCATATTTCTCATAAATGTTGGGAGCCTATTTCCTACCTTTACTCCATATATTTTGCCCCTCTTTTCTGCTGTAGATAAGTACACTCAGATACTTAGGCTCCTTCATTTTTACTGGTTCTGTCCTTTTTCTCAAAACCAGTCCACATTTCCAATGTTTAAACAAACATTTATTGAGTTTTGCTGAATTCAAGGACATTAACTTTTGCCCACTGTATCCTCATAAGCCACAGAAGAGAATGACTGTAGAGAAAACCAAGTTTAGAAAACTTAATTAATAGTCACATGATAATTTGCAGAATAGGGATGCAAATCCAAATCCACTGTTCTTTGCACTGTTCTCTTTTTACCTACAATTTTGTTTCATATCCAAATTGACTTGAGCTATTTAACAGGAGCACGAAATTAAGTGCTAATGGTCTCCCAGTCAGACACCGACATTAAATCTTCATTGTTTGTGTTAATGACAGGCCTGTCAATCCAGGGTCACTGTGAGCATAGGAACCCCTTGTTTTCTGGAACAGAACACCAGGTAGTACCTTTCCTTGCAAGATCATTGGCTGTTGTGTAATGCTCATAACAACCTGGGTCCCCTTAACTGTTTCATCAGAAGCCTTTGTCAGTGCCTTAGCAGACGGAGGCAGAGCAGAAGCAGCATGTGGGAGCTGTTTGCTTGGATGTTCCTGACCTGATCAGAGATGTATGAGGGCCCTTTGACTGAAAGTCTCTGTTCCCTGGGATAGTAAAGAATGAGAAATAATCATTGTTGTATTTTATCATTTTTAGAGGATCTGCTACGTACCATACACTATAGTGGATGCTTAATGTATGTTATCTCATTAGTAATCCTCAAAGAACATTTCTACAAAGTGAATAGAATTAGCATGGCCCTCATTTTACACAAGAGGAAGCTGAGGCTTGGGAGAGGCTGAATCCCTGTCCAGAGTCACACACTTGGCTGGCCAGTGGGAGCTGCAGCGCTGCACACCCAGGACTTTCTGGAAAAGCCTGGGCTCCTGCCCTTCTCTGAACTTGCTTCTCAGATTCCTAGTGGTGCTAGGTGGGTCTCCTGAAGTTAGAACTTAGAATAAAATATAACTGTAGCAGAAGGTGAAAGGGGGAAATGTTGGGTCAATTTTTACTTCTGATAGTATTCTTCAGTGGGGAAAAACACCATCCTCATCCTCATTAACCACATAACATTTTGAACACCGTCTACATTGAGCCCAGTTCTAACAGTCAATGCAATGATTGTGAATGCCTCTGCTTGCTACAGGGACATTAATCGAGAGACAAAGAAGGCATCATTTCAAACTTCCTTGGACACCTTTTTTAAGAGACCTGGGCCATCCAAACCATCCCCAAAAGCCCTTCTAAATTCTAAGAAGGCAAGCAAAATTATTGTTAATAAAATGTTTAATGTTTATTATGGCTAGCCTATTAGTTTTAGGCCAAATTTATGATATGATAAAAATTTGTGATTTTTTTTTTTTTTTTAGCAGTATTAAACATTACATTGGGATCCTGAACGATCTATCTGTAGTATATTTGGGATCTTAAAGTGTAATTTTACTACTTGAAACGTTTCTAGAATACTATGGTTATTTGTGATTTTGTTGTTTATTTTCTTTCACTTAGTTTTCTAGCATACTGTTTGGCATGTCCGGATTATAATGGGTCCTTTCTCAAGAAGTAGCCAAAAATATCACAGAGTTGTCATTCCAGAAACAGAGCTGTGGAGGGCCTGTGCCCGGGATAGTTGGTGAAACTAGAGAAAAGCCTTGGGCACTGTAGAGCATCAAGTATCAGGGGTTGTATGCATTTTTGTGCATCTTTTCCTAGGGAGTAAGTTTGAGGAGTCCATGGCTCGTTCCTTTGATGAATTTTTAGACTTAGCCTCTTTGGGAAAGCTGCGTAAATTTACTTGTTGTATCCTAGCTGGTATAGAGTCAACTGTTTTGTGAAGAGAAAAGAGTTCCCAGTATGCTATCTAGTTGTGTGGGTGGCATTTCAGCATTTTTTTCCTTCTTGGCAAGAATTCATACCTGGGCTTCTGGAGGTCAGGGCCTGCCCAGTGGGGAACCTAATCTGAAAGCTGCATGACATAAAAGCAGCTCTAAGAAGGGTTGGGGACAGTTTTCTTAAGACCTCAGGGGACTGACTTACATAAGCACATTATGTGATTCACAAACCCTTGCTTGGATCATCATACATTGGTGTTTTGAGGAGTACAGTTTCCTGTTGCTGTAACCCTACTCTGTGTTCCCTGTCTGGCTCTGTGTTCCCAAGGGCTGCTCAGTGAAAGTAAATTAAGTGTGGGAACCTCATCTTTGATCAGGAAGATGAAGATTCTGTAAGGGCAGCCGTCAGCAACACTTTTTGCTAAAGGGCCCAATAATAGATCATTTAGGCTTTGTCAGCCATACAGTCTCTGTCACAATTACTCAGCTTCCCCATTGTAGCACAAAAGAAACCATACATAATGTATAAACAAATGAGTGTGGCTCTGTTTGAATAAAACTTGTTTTACAAAAACAGGCCGTGGTTTGGAATGGGCCAGCAGACAATCTTTTGCCAAGCCCTGCTTTAGAGCAAAGATTTTTCAAATCATTTGTAACTCCCTAGAATTACACAGATACCTCAAGTCCTGGAGACAAGGTTTTGTTTAATCTGCATTTCTTTCTAGGTCCCTGTGAATGTTGAAATAGCTTTCCCAAATAAAGCATCAAAGACTTTAAACACCAACATTTATTTTTTGCAACTTCTGTCTCTCACCCTCCCTTCCACTCTTAAAAATCAATGGAAAAATATCCTCAGGTGAGGATTAACCAAATATATATTATATATGGCTTTTTTTTCTTATTCTTTCAAGACTTTTCTCTTGAGTCAGAACCATTAAAAGTTACATTTATGAAGCTATATAGCATATGCCCTCTGGGCTTATTGCCCCTATTCTAAAAGGCACCAGGCTTCATGTTTTGTGTTTGCTTGTTATAAACTTGCACTCTCTCTTTTCCCTAAGAGGGTTGCTGTCCTGGTGCTGTCTCCTAACTTGCCTGTAATAATATCTCTGTCCTCCCAACCTCTTAACCCTTAATCAAAACTTAATAGATGTGGGGTTGAAGTACTAATACCAGTACAGTATACTTCGTAACAGATGGAGATCTGAGTAAAATACCTGGAAATTTTCCTATTCAACAAAGTTTCAAGGTATGATAACGCCAAAAGAATTTTACATGGAAAAGTCTGGTAACAGTGTCAATCATTTCCCCAAAAATTCAAAAAGAAGAAGAGTGTAATGTTTCTTATTTCTGAAGTTTAAACTCCTTTTCCCTAGCCTGTATTGATTGATTCCTGTCTTTCCAGAAAATGTCTGCATCACTAAACTTTGTGCTTTATTCTGTTCTCTCGTGTTTCACATCTGTGTTCCCAAGTAGAAATGTCAAGCACCTTGAGATTTAGTTGATGGTTGGATGAGTTTTCTTCCATACCCCAGAGCTTTGAAGACTGCTTGATACCCAGCAAGTTCTTAGTGGGCTTTTGGTTACTCAAATATTTGAACTTAGTTTTGAACCAAATTTATCAAATTCTCTGATTTGTCTTGTACTATAAGAAGATCCAGTTTTAATAATAACTTCTTCAAATTCATATTTCTTAAGACTAATGCTGCCAAAAAAAAAAAAAGACAGTTCTTTGAGAAGGGTAGATGTAGAAAGAAAGGACTAGTTACAAATCTCTAGTGGCCTCTAATATAAAGATTGCAAAGGAGTTGAAATGTTTTCCTATGTACAAGGTTGAGTGGGTAGTACCTAATTAAATACGAGGCTAGACTTTTACCTCTTAGGAGATGGGTTTTGTTGCTTAAGTTCCTTTGGTTTAGGAAGTGTGTTTTTTTAATCCTTCAGAAAAAGTTGGAATGTCTGAAAAGCCTGGATCTGTTTAACTGTGAGGTTACTAACCTGAATGACTACCGAGAGAGTGTCTTCAAGCTCTTGCCCCAGCTGACTTACCTGGATGGCTATGACCAAGAGGATCGAGAAGCTCCTGACTCAGATGCTGAGGTGGACGGTGTGGATGAAGAAGAGGATGATGAAGGTAATTGGACATTATTTCCGTCAACCTAATTTCTGCCTTCCAGGGTCCTGATAAAACTGCTGAATGTTCTTGCTGTTGAGAAAAAGAATTTATATGCATACATGTAGGCATTCCATTTAATTTGGAGTTACAACTTCTGTTTAATTTTACTAAGTGCTTGGGACATTGAAGCCTTTAAATGATTCCAAATAAAAGTGGTTTGTTAGCTAATGTCTTGGATTTCGAGCCTAGAGATCATGGACTGCTCCATCCATTGAAGTACTTGTGAGTTACAGTTTACTAAAGAGACCATCATTTCTGTCTTCCTCCTAGCTGTTCCCCTGCCTTGGTTACTGCTTACTTATCCTTACAAAACTCATCTTTGTCAACACTTCCAGGAAGACTCTCCTGATACCCTCGAGAGATGAGATTCGTGAACATGCTAGAACATCCCTTGCTACCTCTTTCGTAGCACCTGTCTCTCTGCTATTCTTGTCCCTTCCAACTATGCTATGATTATTTTCTTGGGTCGGGCTTTTTTCTTTATTCAAAGGACCTAAAACTTCATAGGTACTTGGTATATGTTTGTTATATCCAAATATAAATAAAATAGGTTTCCTGCCTTTAATATATTACTAGGATCTAAGAAGATGATGATTTCAAAGTACTATGTGATAGGTTCCATTTTTCATTAATAAGGGAAATAATCTCTGGATATAACATGGATTTAGAAGATAGTTTTTATCATTGACATCTGACCAAGGTTTTTTACATCTAGTTAGCTTTTAGACTCATTTTTTTAAAATATCTCTTTTCTTTAAAATAAAAAATACACAAGATAGAAATGATTAAGAAAAGCAGAGGAGGAAAAAACATCAGGCAGCTTGGTGCCATTATTGGTGCTGTGCTCTGGAAGCATCTTTACAGTTTGATTTTGCAGGAGATTTGAGATAAGGCAAAGAGAGAGAGGATGGGATGTAAGACAAGCATGTCAAACTCATGGCTGCGAAGTTTGTAAGATGTCACAAAATAGGACATCTCACCTTGTTCCAAATATTTATGTCACTTGTTCCCCTCACCACAGGTTTTCAGTTATCCCTAAGAACCCTTTGTGCCTCCTGTGGTCTGTTGAGGTTCATATTAAACAGGCTGAACGGCCACCTGTGAAAGAGCCTGTAAAGAAAACTTTTGGAGGGGTGGAGGGTTCCTGAGAACCACATCATGGTTTCTGTCCTCTTGGAGCTCACTACGAAGAAGAAAGTGTTAAATAATCACAAGTGAGCAAGGTGTGTGGTCATGGAGAAGAACCGGGTGCTTGTGTGAGAGTGCGATGGGATTCGGAGGTCTGGCTTATCTGCCCAAGGAAGTGATTTTTAATTGAGAGTCAGAGGTTGAATCCGTGTTAGCCAAACAGAAGAGGGAAGAGTGTTGAGCGGCTTGGAGGCAGAATAGAGCACAGCAAGCTCTAGTACCAGAGAGGTAACTGCTCGGCTAGAATCCTCCACCAAATGGAGACACGGTATGGAGATGCCTCGCAACTTGTCACAGGTTTGTTAGTCGGCATCTCCCAAGCTCCCCATTTGGGCAGCTTTGTGGTGGTGCCCTTGCCTCAGAAGAATATTTTTGTTTCAATTTTTTGTAACTTTTTACTGTGGAAAATTTTAGACATAGACAAAGGTAGAAAAAATAGTAAAACATTCATGTTCCCATGACTGAGCTTTAATAGTTCTGGTTCATAGCTGATCATGTTTTATACATACACATCCCTACCCTCTTCCCCCTTCCTTACTTAGAGTCAAATGCCAGACACTGGATAAAGTGTTATAGTGTCCATCTAGTCTCCCAGGAGTCCTGGCCTCCAGATGTTATGGGATTCTGTAGGACAAAAGGACTGAGCTACAGCAGCTTGGGAGCAAGAGGGTAACTGTGGTTCACGGTTTCCCCTGATGTTGGTGTAGTCCAGCATTTGTCCTGTGGACCAACCCATAATTTCTCAACATCTAGCAGATGTACCCTCATGGGACATCAAGAGTATTTAATGAATTCCTTTTGGACTGTTTTCAGAAGGAGAAGATGAGGAGGACGAGGAGGATGAGGATGGTGAGGAAGAAGAATTTGATGATGAAGAGGATGAAGATGAAGACGAAGATGTAGAAGGAGAAGAGGATGAAGATGAAGTCAGTGGGGAGGTCAGTGCAGCTCTGCTTCCCTGCTTCCTATTTAAAATGATTAAAAGTATAGATTCCTTTTTAAGAAGAAAGGAAAGGAAGAGAAAAAAGGCCTTCTGAAGAAAATAATATACGTTTGAGTAGACTAATATCAGTCTGATTAATTTAGCTCTTATGAACCCACCCTCTTAATAAATACTAAATGGAATGCTTACTGAATGCTACAGGACACAGTTCTTGGCTCTGCAAGGTAAGTTTTAGCCCTTTAACTTTGGGAGGAAGCAGTGAGTTGAGTATTCATTCAGTAGGGTGAGAAAACTGGAAACATTGAGAACTGAAGGTATGTCTATTCCTTTGTTGTATTGAAAGGAAGGGTATGTTTACCAAGTCTTGACTTGTTCTTGTATATTCAGCCTAATTGAGCAAATACACGCCTTCTGTGTTAAAAGAGCTAGGGATGCAAAGTTAAATAGGGATGTGGTCCTGCCCTGGCATGTATGGCTCACTTGGTTGAGCGTCATGTCATGTACCAAAAAGACCAGTTCGATTCCTGGTCAGAGCACATGTCTGGGTTGTGGATTCAATCTCCAGTAGAGGGGGTGTGAAGGAGGCAGCTGATCGATGTTTCTCTCCCACATCAATATTTCTCTCTCTCCAAAGTAATAACATTTTTTAAACATTTTTTAAACTACATGCAAGAGCAGGTAGTCTAGTTTAATGGCACACCTAAGTAACACCATGTCAGTAAGGAGTTGAATGCCATAGAAGGACAGGAGAAAGGAGTGACTTACCTTTGACCCTGAAGGAGGTTTGTGAAAACAACAGGCCAGGAAAGTTAGATGTCACCAAAAACATGTTCTTTTTTTGTACAGAAGTAAGGCTGAGCATTTGTATAACCTCATAAGGTATTTAATGAAATTAAGTTCCTGAAGGGAACATTTTATAACGATGGTAATGTAGAAATCTTTGTCCAAACCTGCTTTGAAATTCAAGATTTAAAAATCATTTCTTGAATTATTCATTTAAACTTGTATACTAATTAAGTATGTCTGGTAAATGAAATGCTTACTTCTGAAAAGCAACTTTTTTTTAAGTATGTTTTTATTGATTTTTAGAGAGAGGGGAAGGGAGAGGGATAGAGATAAGAAACATCACCCTTCTGCCTACTGGGGTTCGATCCTGCAACCTGGGCATATGCCCTGGCCAGAAATCAAACCAGTGACCTCTTGGTACATGGGTCGATGCTCAACCACTGAGCCACATCAGCTGGGCAATTTTTAAAGAAAAATTTAAATTAAGCTTATTAAGAGAAACCCACGTATCTCAGTACATCAAAGTAGATAAAAACGTAAAAGTTTTCTCCTTGATGGATTGTTACATTTATTGGGAAATTTATACTTTTTGTACTTCTCAACTTGGCAGAATTAATCTAATAATGATAATTGCCATACTATTCTTTAGGAAGAAGAATTTGGACATGATGGAGAAGTTGATGAAGATGAAGACGATGAGGATGAGGATGAGGATGAAGGTGGGTGTGAAGCATGCATTTTGATCCTCAGCTAAAAATCGGGGTTTGGGGCAGCTGTCCCATTAACTTAGAATTTATCACAACCACTGAGAAGAAAAAAATTGCCCTTTGCCCTGGTGGTCTTCACAGGCCCTTGTGTAGCCCTGTCAGTGTGTCTACACTGGTGTAGTTCACCTGCTCTATGTAGCAAGCTATTAAGACTGTCTCTCTGAGGGAAGGAGGCCCAGTTTTCAGTCCCCACACTTGAACTATGTTTTTAGAACCCTTCATTCAGATTATTGCCAGGCATAAGATTTCTGTGTTTTGAATTCTTTCATTTAAAAAAGTCTTAGTAATTGTGTCATAATTTTTGCAGAATGTATACATATCACCTTTCCAATTTTATTAGTGTTAATTCCTTTCCACCTTAACCCAAACTAGTGAAATATCCATTTGTTAATTACTCATTGAAAGCACAGATTCTCATGCATATATAGGTTTCAGAATACCAGGTGGTTTGCTGTGCTTTCCATTGGTTCAATTTTTTTTCCAGCATCTGTTCTCTGTGCCACGCACTGGACTAAATTTACAGTGATAGAAGAGCAATCCTTAGGACCTGGTTTCTGCCTTCCAGGAGCTTTATAGAACATAGTTTGACACAGATTTAGTTAATTTCATTTAATAGCCATGAATTTTTACTAGTTGAAAAAACAATGATATATAGGTCTCTGTCTCAAAAACCTGAGGCATCTAGAAATCTCTTTTTAGTTAATATCAACTCACTACAATTTGAATCTTGCCATGTTCAAGGCTAAATACTCTGTTATCTCCGTTAATCTTCAGAGTAACCCTTCAAGTTAGTGCCATTGTCCCCATTTTATAAACAAGGAAACAGGCTAACTAACTCCAAAGTCCCTGATGAGCAAATCTCTCATTGGACCAACAAGTGTAAGAAACATTTGGGAGACTGCAACTTAAAATTGAGAAAACTGGCGTAACTTTGTTGTGATTTGAGATGCTGCTGTGCATTTTGCCTTCTTGGTTCTGTGGTCACTATGCTTTTTAAAATTAATAGCTCTTAATTAACAACCTGCCTATCAGATTAAGCTGGCATCTTTTTTTTATCATCTCAACCATCAAAGAATTCATTGTTTTTACCTTCGTTAGCAATAACTTTGTTCCAATTGTCTCAAAGTGAATTTTTGTTATTGTACAGAGGAGGAAGAAAGCGGGAAAGGTGAAAAGAGGAAGAGAGAAACAGATGATGAAGGAGAAGATGATTAAGGACCCAAATAATCTGCAGAAAAAGAAAACTGTTCAGTATTGGTTGGACTGCTCATCCTATGGATTTGGTAGCTGTTTAAAGAAAAAAAAAGGTAGCTGTGATACAAACCCAAGGACACCTACCCACCCAAAGAGCCAAAGAATAGTTCCTGTGACATTCCGCCTTAGTCCCTTTTGGAAATTCACCACCAAGCTTGGAGACTGCACCCCAACAGAATTGTAAGCGTTGTTAGGGTTTCATGTAAGACTCTTGCTGTAGCGTGGATAGCTTTGATTGGTGAGGCAACCAGCTGTGGCTACCAGTTACACCAAGACTGTAACAGCATTTTTACTTTCTGTACAACAAAGAAGCTTTGTAAATGAAATCTTAACATTTTGGGTCTGTTTTTTCATGCCTTTCTGTTCTTTTTAATGACATTTTTTTTACATTAGGACATTTTATGTGACAACTGCCAAAAAATATTTTTAAGAATTTCAGTGAAATAAACACGTTCCTCTTTGGTAAAGCCTAGTTGTATGCTTACATTTTTAAATTAGACTTTAACTGTAAGTTCATGTTTAAAACACACTAAAGAACTGGTTTCTTTGGCATTTTTATATTCGTGTTCATTGAAGGGAAATGTACAAGTGTGTAGGATCTTTTTGCATTTAAGTCCAATCCTCATTTTTGCTGACTGAGAGTAAATGAAGGGGACTTCAAAAATAATGTTTGAAATGCAGTGCTCTGGAGGCCCTGAAAGCAAGTCAAAATACTGTTAGGTGCACATAATAGTTGAATTAAGGAAGAGAGGATAGTATAAAGGAGAAGACCTTGCCCTGAGTCCCGGGAGATCTGAATTCTAGTTCTGACGCTGCTGCTGATTTCCTGGGCGACCTGTGTTGATCCCTGGATCACCTCCCAGTCTACAAATCGGAGGGGTGTGACCTAGTGGCTTCTGAAGTCCTGCCGCACTGATGGTCTGTGGCCCTCACTGACAGGAAGGTCTGAAGAAAACATGGGCTTTACACCAAGGCTGAAATGTAGGATTTGACTGACAGGTGAACAGAGGGTGTGTTACCAAGACAGGCATGCTAAGGAGGAATGACGTGAAAAGCCTTGTGGAAGGGCAGGAGTGTGGGCACTGCCTGAGGTCAGTTCAGCTTTTCCAGACGATGGAAATGTTCTCTATTCTTACAGATCTTATAGGGATTTGGGGGAGAGGTAAGATACTCTGCAGTCTATTCAGTGGCTCAACCACTTCATGTGTGACTGCACTGCCAGTATTTTTTAAGTGGAATATTTGAGGATTGTTTTAGCTATAAGCGACTAGAATGAGTGGGGATTTTATGTGTGTAAAAGTAGTGTTAAAGATTGGAATTTATGGCCGAAACCAGTTTGGCTCAGTGGATGGAGCGTCAGCCTGCGGACGGAAAGGTCCCAGGTTCGATTCGGTCAGGGGCATGTACCTGGGTTGTGGGCACATCCCCAGTAGGGGATGTGCAGGAGGCAGCTGATCGATGTTTCTCTTTCATCGATGTTTCTAACTATCTCTCTCCCTTCCTCTCTGTAAAAAATCAATAAAATATATATTTTTTAAAAAAACAGAAAAAAAAAAAGATTGGAATTTATGTCTAGAAAAAGTTACATAGTATCACTGGAACCCCCAAAATACCTATTTTAAAATTTGAAGTCATTAGTTTTTAGAGTTTGCATTTTGCAAAGGAAATTCAAGAAAATTGGGTTGATTTCTGGTTTAGCAAATACTACTTTATTTTACTCAACCACAGGCCTTATCTGCTATTTGGCAAACCTTCAATTCATTATAAAGCATTTTCTTCTGTAGCCTAAGTGTCCTTAGGTTTTGCAGATGATGTCACATAGAAAATGTAACTTTGGGTGGTTATTTTCCTTGCTTTTTCAAGTTTACAAAACTTTCCAGTATCTACCAAGAACCAAGGATATGCCAGGGTTGGGCAAGAAGGAGGGATGTTGGGTTAGAGACAAGCCAGCCCTTAGGTGCTCAGAGCAGAGAAGAGGAAACATGGGGATGATATTTACTGGGTCAGAACAAGAGTCCAGTAAGTGTTAGCTCAGGCTGGAAAGATGGCTTCCAGGTAGGATTGCAGGAAGGAAACTACTTGAGCTGTACATGCAAATATGTGTAGAATTTAGAAATAGGAATGGAGGAAAGAGGGAGGAGCATGATGAGCAGAAGTAGGGATTACTGAGTACATGCAAATTTGGAGAATGAGAATGAAAAGAGGAATGGCAGGTGAGGCTGGAGTAGTAATTTGGGACCTTATCCTAGAGAAGGCCAAACCTTTTTATGCATTCACTTTGTTTTGTTTTAAATGATTTTATTTCAGAGAGGGAGAGAGAAACATCAATGATGAGAGAGAATCAATTTGCTGCCTCCTGCTTGCTCCCTACTGGGAATAGAGCCCACAAGCAGGGCATGTGCCCCAATGAGGAATTGAACTGTGACTTCCTGGTTCAAAGGTCATGTCTCAACCACTGAGCCACACCAGCTGGACTCTTAAGTATTCACTTTGTAAAACGTCAACTTGGTCTACTACATATGGTCAGCAAGTGTGTCTAGGGAATTATCAAGCCACATTTTCATTTCTACCATGTTTTTCTTTTAAATTTAGGTTTCCCAGAAGCCTGTGGCATTCTGACCTCTGGGAGGTCCTTGAGGCTCAGCTATTCTGGACGAAAGTCAAATTTTAAATTCTTAAGAAGCAGCAAACTTTTTGGTAATGAGTTCACAGAACAGACCGTATTTCTGGAGTTGCCTCCCATCTGAAGGAGACCTTCATTGAGCGGGTTGGCCTCCAGCTTTTGCAGCAAATATTTGAGCCATAAAATATCTGATCAGGTTGGGAGCTGTGATGGGCTAGTCCTGACTTGGTCCTTTGTGGTCAGTAGAGGCATCTCTTTCACACATAACCCTGCCCCCAGCTAGAGCAACTGCTCTGTCCCTGTGACATTTTCCACCAGCCCTTACCTGTTATCCTATCTAATAAAAGAGAAACCTGGTAATTGGTGTACGACCGCTACCCTTCCCACTGGCTAATCAGGGTGATATGCAAATTAACTGCCAGCCAAGATGGCGGCCGGCAGCTTAAACTGAACATGAGGCTTGCTTGCTTCAGTGACAGAGTAAACCAATGTTCCCCACCTGCCTTGCCGGCCTCTGAGCCTGCAGTTTGAAACAGTTACAAATATAGAAGCTAAACAAAACCCCAAGAACCAGCTTTCAGGGAGCTGGGATCTCAGAGCTGGAGTTGATACAGAGTTTCGATTATAGAACCTAAACAAACCAGATACCTGCTTTCAGCAGCAGAAGCCTCAGAGCTGGAGCCTCAGAGCTAAAGCTGGCCCAGAATTTAAAAAAAAAGAAAAAAAGGAGCAGTTGGGAGTTCAGCCACCCGCCAGCCTGAAAACAGCCCTCAGCCCCTCACCCAGACTGGCCAGGCACCCCAGTAGGGACCCCCACCCTGAAAGATGTGTGACCAACTGCAAACAGCCATCATCCCCTCATCCAGGCTGGCCAGGCACCCCAGTGGGGACCCCCACTCAGCAGAGCCGCGAGGCCTCCCGGCACCGGGATCAGCGTGACGGGGCAGCACCCAAACCCCGATTGCCCTGCAGCTCTGTGGGTGATGGGGCGGGGCCACAACCTCCCTATTGGCCCTGCTTTATTCCGGACATGGGAAGGCGCCCCAACCCCCGGATCGGTCCTGCTCTGTGCCTGATAGTGGGGAGCTCCCCAACCCCCTGATCGCCCTGCGGCTCTGTGTGTGACAGGGTGCGGCGCCCCAATCCCCCCACCCCATGGGCCCTGCTCTGTGTGTGACGGGGTAGAGCCATAACCTCCCCATCGGCCCTGCCCTGAGTGTGAGAGTGGCGGCGCCCCAACCCCCTGATCGGCCCTGCTCTGTGTGTGACGGGACAGCGCCCCAACCCCCTGATTGGCCCTGCTCTGTGTGTGACGGTGCGGCGCCCCAATCCCCCCACCCCACGGACCCTGCTCTGTGTGTGACGGGGTAGAGCCATAACCTCCCCATCGGCCCTGCCCTGAGTGTGAGAGTGGCGGCACCCCAACCCCGTGATTGGCCCTGCTCTGTGCGTGACAGGGGGTGGCGCCGCAACCTCCCTATCAATCCTGCCTTGAGTGTGACAGGGGGCGGTGCCCCAACCCCCCAATCGGCCCTACCCTGAGCGTGACTGAGGGTGGCATCACAACCTCCCAATCCGCCCTGCTCTGTGCATGACAGGGGGCGGCGCCCCAACTCCCCAATCGGCCCTGCTCTGAGCCCGACCAGGGGCTGCACCTAGGGATTAGGCCTGCCCTCTGCCACCCGGGAGCAGGCCTAAGCCAGCAGGGCGTTATCTCCCGAGGGGTCCCAGACTGCGAGAGGGCACAGGCCGGGCTGAGGGACCCGCACCCTCCCCCCCGAGTGCACAAATTTTTGTGCACTGGGCCTCTAGTGTAATAATAAAAGCCTTGGAACCATTGCTCATTGTAGGGATGGAGACGCTGAGGCACTGGAGAGGGACAACTGCTGGCTCACCTGGTGAAGTAGTGAAAGGACCTAGGTGGGAAATCATGTGGCCCTGTTTTCAACTTTGTGCTCTTACCTTGAATTCACTCTTACAGGAATCCAGGACCCGAGGAGTGACTGGCATTTCTCATGGAAATGCAGACATCTTGTGTAAGAGGCTAGTCCCCCACCCCCATCACCAGGATTCCTACCTTACACGTGGGCATAGCACAGCAGAGTCACTCCTTTGTTATTTCTGGCATTTCTATTTGGGGTACACTACCCTACAACCAGGGAAAGGCGAGGCAGAACCACAGAGGTTCTACCCTTAGGCTATGACCTTCCCTCTTCTCCAGCCCTGTCAAGTTGTGCTGACATCAATTTTAATAAGGCTGTTGATACCACTGTGTTGACAGTTTGAAAAGGGAGTCAAGTTACCAGCCTACTTAGGCTCCGGCCAGCCAAACAGTTGCTCTGTAGGAAAACCACCAAGATTACAGCAAGTGTAGAAGTCCTCCCCAGAGCCAATTAGGTCAGCTTCGTAATCTCTGAGCATGTACTTTATAACTTGTCCCCGCAGTGCTGGGGAGGGCACAGGGAAAAGAAAATGACCCTAAGGGTGACTCTGATCAAGGGGCTTGGCCCCAGGCCAGGAAGGGTTTGGTGTGTGTTTGTGTGTGTGTTCACCTTCCCACCCCAGCCCCGAGAAAGCAAGAGTTGTGAAGGAGACTTCACACAGAATCCAAAGCTCTGTTTGAGCCCCAGCCTGGCTACTAGCTGGATGTGACCTTTCCGAGTCACTTTTCCTTCTGTGAGCCTTCATTTCCTCAACTAAAAACACAGGGCCCAAGCTAAGTGAGCTGCAGCTCTGATCCAGTTGTATAAATCTGAATGGGGGACACGCCAAGTCCTAACCAGCATCAGGGATGCTGGTAGTTATTTGGGCTGTCACTCCCAGTTACCCCAGCACCTCCCCAAGGAACAAGTAAGGGTTTGGGCTGGTGGAAAAGGTCAGCTGTGCTTTGGGCTCAATACAGTAGAACGGTTGACCTGTCGCAGGAAACCAGAGAGGAGACGGTGACAGTTATCAGGAAAAAGCTGAACGAGGGCTGCACCCTGGGACTGACAGGGAATGAGGTGTTTTCCAAAAACTGCAGTAGGAATCCTAGAATATTGGTTTTACTGCTCACACTGGTCAGTCTGGTAGTAGCATTAGTCTCGCTGTAGCAGGAGCAGGATGTGTATCAGCCATGAGGGGCACTTCCGCTTCAAGTCTGGAAGGCAGCAGATGGCCATTTAAGAGGATTCTTTTTTAATCCTCAAACTACCCGACCCCCCACCTTTGTGAATAATACACTATAATCCCCATTTTAGAACTGTGGGAACTGAGGGGTTTAGAGGTGAAGTGCCTTACTCAAAGTCCTGTAAATGGTGGGCCTGGCCTGGATTCCCACCCAGCTCTGCCTGAGTCCCAAGTTTCGCTCTTTGCCCAGTGTGCCTCCTTATGCCCTCTGGCTCCTGGCTGCAGACTGCTGAGGAAGCTGGTGAACCTGTTTCTTCCTCTTCAGTCTAGAGCCAGTGGTCAGCAAACCGCGGCTCGTGAGCCACATGCGGCTCTTTGGACTCTTAAGTGTGGCTCTTCCACAAAATACCACGTGCAGGCGCGCATGTACAGTGCGATTGAAACTTCGCAGCCCATGCGCAGAAGTTGGTATTTTGTGGAAGAGCCACACTCAAGGGGCCAAAGAACCGCATGTGGTTCATGAGCTGCAGTTTGCCGACCACTGGTCTAGACTAACAAGAGCCTCTTTCCAGAGGTTTAGGACAGAGAGAACACAGCTTTCTGAGTTGGAACTGTGAGATGCTTAGGGGTTGAGCAAACAGGCCTCTACAAATACTGACATCTACCACTCAGGTTGGGGAGCTTGGGTGGATCAATACCTCGCTTCCTCAGAAATTTTCCAGAAAGCTGACTTTAGGGAACAGTTATGTTCCCCTAAGAGGCTAAATGTGCCTGGGGAAACATGAAGTCAGTTATGCCTCACTCTTCATTGTCACCTTTTCTTTTCTGCACTCGCTCATTCAGAAAATGTTCATTGGTACCAACTAAGTTAAGGAATCCTGTGGTTGGTATGCAGGATACAATAGGAAACAGTCCAGACCTGCTCTCAAGGAGCTCCTGGCCAGTAGGACAGTCATAACACAAGGCTCTAAGCAACATAAAAGGCAGAGGCCTTGCCCTAGTCGGTTTGGCTCACTGGATAGAGCATCGGCCTGGGGACTGAAGAGTCCCGGGTTCGATTCTGGTCAAGAGCATGTACCTTGGTTGCAGGCACATCCCCGGCAGGAGGTGTGCAGGAGGCAGCTGATCGATGATTCTCTCTCCTCAATGTTTCTAACTCTCTATCCCTCTCACTTCCTCTCTGTAAAAAATCAATAAAATATATTAAAAAAAAAAAAAAAAGGCAGAGGCCTGGTCTGTCTTGTTCATCGTATTGCTAGGGCTTTGCTCTGGGTTTAGCACTGAGTAGGTGCTCCAGATGGTTCCTGACTCAAAGGAGCTCACAGCCTAGAGGGAACTATGGCAGTTACCATAAAGGGTAATAACTGGGTGAAGAGGAAGGTCCGATGGCAGCCTAGAAAAGGTTGTTGGAGAGATCAGAGGAAGTGGCTTTGAGGCTGAAGGACCTGCAGACGATGGCCAAGCCTGGCTCCGTATGGCAGAGGTAGAGGAGTGGGGAGTGTGCAGACTCTGGGAACAGCCTGTGCCAAAGCCTGGAGGTGAGAGGGGTAAACCTAGAGAGGTTAAGTTGGGCTTGGTAAACCATCCTAAGGATTTTAAACTTTATCCTTAGGATGACGGCAAGCCAGTGATTCATTAGCCAAGCAGCAAAAGCAACAGAAATTTTAAAAAGAACAAGAGAAGAATGAAAATCGCATCCTTTCCTCATTATAGTAAAGTACAGTAGTACTACTTGAATATACTGAAAGCTGTCATTTAATCACATATAACATCAGCCTAACTTGCTCTTGTGGGATAACTACTTTAAAACATAATCTCTCCTTTTCTCCCTTTAAATTAATTTCCACTTATTTATAAACTAAGCAAAACCATAATGACTTCTTTAGCCCAAAGTGACTGAGTTATTTTATTGTTGGATTTCATTTTCTCTGCAACCAGGGTGTGTTGATCAGCCTCAGCCAGGTGTGAACGGCCATTTAGATTTGAAAGACATGCAGCACATGTCACAGCCAAGCACATGCACAGGTCACACATGAATGAAGTCTGCTGCAATCTCCTTCTTTCCTCTGCTTCCTCATGGCCTCCGAACATGCACCTCAGAACCCCTCAACTCCGAGACCCCTCTCCTCCAGGAGCCAGTTTTTCATCTGTTTTTAATAACTGACTCTCCCAAGAAAAGGTTTATTTTCACCCTGTTATCTCCTCCCCTCCCCCTAGCCACCAGATATGCTGTGAACAGTGGCCCCCTTCCTCCCAAGTCCCCAAGTTCTTGCTCCTCATTCTCTGGACTACTCTGGGCCTTTGACTCTGTGAGTCCGCCCCCCCTACCCCCACCCCCACCCCAGGACCCAGTGTCGCCTGCTTCTGGTCCCGTTCTCCATTCCTTCCAGGGCAGCCGCCCAGGGCTCACCCCTCCACACCGCCCACCCCTGTGCACACGCTCCTTCAGCAGTCAGCCTAACCCACCCGTGGTCTTCTCACTCAGGACGGCCACGGATCTCTCTCTCCCTCCAGGACCTCTACTCCGAACTTCAGACCTGCCTTCCTCCTGCCTGGTGGGCAGTTTCACCTGCATCTTTATATCCATGTGTCCAAAACCTGCCCTTCTCATCTTCCACCCTCCTCTCCTTTCTGTTATCATTGGTCATCAGTTCTGGTAAGTCAAGCTGAGAGCCAATGTTATTTTTTAGAGTTGGGTACCTCGGCCGAGAGGCAGTCCAGGGCCCTAGTCCCAGCTCCGTTCTGGCTTTCTGAATGACTTTGGACAAGCCAGCGGAACTTTTTGAACCTGTTGCCTCTCACGTCTTAGGAAAGCCCAAGCAAGAACTGTGATCCAGGTTTTCCAGACATCGTCTCACGAAGGATGAACACATTTGTAAGCAAGAGCTGGTTAGTCGCAGGGGCTGGGCTCCAACCAGCACGTAATTCCAAATCCAGAATCCGTCTTTTCCATTACACCACAGGGCACGCTCTCTCCCCACGCCCTCGGAGCTGGACCTCGACTACGCCCTGCCAGCTGCCGGCGGCCTCCTTCCGACGCTGTTTGCTCACCTCTCCTCGCAGGGACCCCGCGACCGCCAGGGACAGCGCTACCCCGCCGGGATCCAAACGCCCAGCCCACAAGTAGGGAGCCGGGCTTCCGGTTCCCCGAGGCACCGCCCCTAGCGGGTAGCTCCGCCCCCTGCTCCGATTGGCTGGCGGAGCCCGGGGATTGGCTGCGCCGCGGGCGCGGGCTGACGTGGCGGGGTCTGCGTGTGGGTCCCGGTGCTGCGGGCTGAAACCGAGCGGTGGGGCAGCGGCGAAGCGCGAGCAGCAGCGATGCCGCTGGAGCTGGAGCTGTGTCCCGGGCGCTGGGTGGGCGGGCAGCACCCGTGCTTCATCATTGCCGAGATCGGCCAGAACCACCAGGGCGACCTGGACGTGGCCAAGCGCATGATCCGCGTGGCCAAGGTGAGGGGAGCGCGCCAGACCAGCGGGGTGCCAGGAGGGGCGGGCGGGGGCCGGGGGGAGCCAGCCTGGGAGGGGCTCTGGGAAGGAGAGGGGTCGCGGGGAGCCGGGTCCACCTTTCTCTGCCTCTTGCCTGCATCGCCCCTGGGGTCCTGGTTGCGAGATCCATTTTTGAATCTTTTTAAAAAATATATCTTTATTGACTTAAGAGAGTTAGGGAGAGGGAGAGAAACATCAACGATGAGAATCATTGATCGGCTGCCTCGTACGTCCCTGACTGGGACTCGAACCCTAAGCTCCTGGTTCATAGGCCGTTTTTTAATCTTTCTAATCCTCTTCATCCCTGCTCCACCCTGATCCTCCTAACGCGATTTCTCTCGCCCCTCCTGGTGGCGGCGTGGTCTTTCTAAAGCACCGATTTGATCAGGTCGTACCCCTGCTGACACCTTCAGTGGGGAGCTTGGGTAGATGGAATGCTTTGTCCAACTTATTAAAAAAGAGTCAGACGACTTTGGCTAGAAATAAATGACGAAGATTTAGTCAAGAGTCTTAGAGTTTGGAAACACAATTAGCCAAAAACCCAGAAGTGCTCTGAAAGAAGAAAGGAAGGTTACAAGTTTTTATAATAAAGTCACATCCTTGACAATAATCAGTCCTGCAGTTTTAGTTGGCCCATTAGCAATGGGATGTCAGGTGGTCTGGATGATGGGTGCCAGGTAGTCTGGTCATGTCCTAAGTCCTTTAGGGAATAGTCATGTCTGATGTATGTTCAGGCATTGACACACAATCAACAGATATATCTCCAATATTGGTGCAGAACTGGAAAGTTAAACATTTTAAGTTACCAGGGAAGTTAAGATAAGAGAAAGAATCATTTTCCTTATTCCTTATCATCGTAATGTTAATAATTGAGCAGCTTGCTCATACAACAAGTGTGTTTGCAATGTTAAAGGTTGAGTTTGTTTTAACTTTAAAATGTTGATGCAAATGGAGCATCCCACCTTGGTTCATCCTAGTGTCCTGCTGCTTGTTTTCTGCCAATAGAGAAGCAGTAAAACCTTGAAGAAACCATCAGCCTTACAGTAAAACACACAGTGACTGTGTTTTCTGAACAAGGAGTTTATCATAGCATTAAACAAATAAGGAAATCACTCATTTTTAGGAAAGAAGCTGAGAAAAGAGGAACCCGTTATGGTACCATTGCTGTCATGTGGAATACAGATTCTGCTACTTCACTTTTTTGTTATTGTTGTTTTTGTTAATCCTCACCCCAGGATATTTTTTCCATTGCTTTTCAAAGAGAGCGGAAGGGAGGGATCGGGAGGAAAAGGAAGAGAGAGAGAGAGAGAGAGAGAGAGAGAGAGAGAGAGAGAGAGAGAGAAAAGCATTGATGTGAGAGACACATTGATTGGTTGCCTCTCGTACATGCCCCATCTGGGCTGGGGATTGAACCTGCAACCGAGGTATGTGCCCTTGACCAGGAATCAAAACCCAAGACCCTTCGGTTCACAGACCAACACTCTAACCACTGGGAACACTGGTCAGGCTCTGCTACTTTGCTTTTATCATCTCCCTATAAAGGGAAGGTTTGCTCGGATGGAAATAAGCCTTTTAACTTTTTTTTTTTTTTAATTTAAATTCTTTCTTGTTTAAAGTATTGCATAAGTCTCCTTTTCCCCCCATTGACCTCTCCCCGGCCACTCCCACCCCCCAGCACATGCCCTCACCCCCCTACCTTTTAACTTCTTGAGGGAAAGTCCACTTCTTGAGATAGATGTGAGAAGCAAAGGGAGCCTAAGGGGCACTGTGTGAAGACCTCCTCATTAGCTTGCTGGAGGCCTGAGTAGCAGAGATCCAGGTTGCAGCCCTGAACCAACACACACGGTCTGCAGCCTCAGGAAAGTGATCTGACCAGCTGTGCCAGAGACTCACTGTGCAACTCTGGTCAGGTCACTGGGCCTTGGGATCCTCATCTAGACAAAGGGAACTGTGTGGCCCTACATCACTTTCCGTTCTAATGTTCTTTGAACTTCTTCCCAGTGTCGTGTCCTGACTCTGCTGTCTTGTGATTTTTTTCCAGGAGTGGGAGCAGCACTCTTAGCACAGACATTTCTGGAGCCAAGGTTTTCAGCAGCAATGAATACCTCTGTGTCTACAGAAATGTCAGTAAGCTGACTCTTTAGAGCGTTTCCTTAATATTTCTGTTGAGTGGTTTTTAAAGACAGTTTTGAAGGTTGGATCCTGACTGGCAATAGAATTATGGCTTTTATAGCCAGACAATCCAACTTCCATATTACAGCTTCTGTTCAGTTAGGCTGGGGCATGTCTACATTTTGTTTGCTTCTTGCCCCAGAATCTCTTGTCATGCTTTTCTGTACAAGTGCAAAAGGGCTAAAAGCAGAGTGGTTCCCTTGTTTCCCACCCCCATAAGGGGCTCCTCAGAAAAGTCACAGGCCCTAGAGCTAGCCCAGAGCAGTTACTGATAGAAAGAAACTGAGTCCAGAGACAGGACTTATCCAAGAGTTAGGGTCAGGTTCTGATTTTTTTTCTCCTAAATTCTGGTCCAGTGCTCATTTTACTGTCTTCTGCTGAGTTGCACAACTTAAAATCTTCCTTAACTGTTTGGTTAATTACTTTAAATATTACAACACAAAACAAAGCCCCTAATCTCCCCCTACCCCCTGTTTTTGCATTTTAAGGGGGGAAAATAGGGAGAAGTCCCATCCCCAATCTTTTCCTTTGAGACTTTTTGTTTCTTCTGTTCCTCTCCTGGGGGGGTTCTTTTTTTTTCTTTTTTCTTTTTTTAAAATATGTTTTTACTGATTTCAGAGAGAGGAGGGGAAAGGGAGAGAGATATAAACACCAACGATGAGAGAAAATCATCTATTGGCTACCTCTTGCATGCCCGCTACTGGGGATCAAGCCTGCAACCTGGGCATGTGCCCTGACTGGGAATCGAACTGTGACCTCCTGGTTCATGGGTCAGCACTGAACCACTGAGCCACACCAGCCAGGCTTCTTTGGGGGTTCTTAACTGCCTCTGTCATTTGACATTGTTTTTAAAGATAATGATGTCATACAGGTGCCCCAACATTTCTCTCTGAGAATCTATGACAGGTCATTGAAAGGAATCCTGATGTATGTTGCAGGAGTGTGGGGCTGACTGTGCCAAGTTTCAGAAGAGTGAGCTGGAGTACAAGTTTAATCGGAAAGCCTTGGAGAGGCCATATACTTCGAAGCACTCCTGGGGGAAGACGTACGGGGAGCACAAGCGCCACCTGGAATTCAGCCACGCTCAGTACAAGGAGCTGCAGAGATATGCTGAGGAGGTTGGCATCTTCTTCACTGCCTCTGGCATGGATGAGGTGAGCCCTCTGCTACTCTGTCATTTGCTACTTTAGCAGACCCAGGGGAGAGCAGGCGGCCTGGTGGCTTTTGGCTTGAGCCGGCTCTTTTATGCTTTCTGGACCTAGAGCTCTCCATAGCATTAACCAGAATAATGCCCAACTAAACGGGAGGCCAGAGGGAGGAGAGGTCCAGTGAAAGTTTGTGGAAGAGTACCATAGTTTTCAAAACAAGTCTGGGAGCAGGGGGGCAGCCACACTGGTACCGTGTTCTTCAAGCTGTGAGAGCCCCCACGAGGCCAGTTTTCCCCAATGGAAAGTCATCTGAACTAGGAGTCAGGAAACCTCAGTTCTGGCAGCAGTCCGTTCCTTGCTGAGTGGCCTTGGCTAATTTGGGTGGCGTGGCACTGGCATCATCCAGAAGGGCGTGGCACCCAAGATGGCCATGCTCACATCCTGGAAGAGTCTAGCTGGTGCCAGGTCTCAGTTTTGATCTGCTCTGTAACCTGCCTCAAGATTTCTTCATCTGTCTTTCTGAATGTAAATAAAGTTTAATTGTAAAAACTAGTATAACATCACAGAAAGTTTAGAAGACAGGAAAAAGAGGGAAAAACTGACCCATAATCCCTATATGGCAGTTCTTTTTATATATTTCCTCCCAAAGTCTTTTTATATGCAAATTTTATTGCCTGGTGGTTATATTTGTGAATATTTAATTCTGTGCATCTTTTCCCAGTTAACATACCAAAAGTTTTTATCCATATCTTCTTTTTATTTGAAGCGTTATTGAGATATAATTGACATATGTAACTCTCCACATCTGTATATAGATATGTGTATACACACACACACACACACAATACTGATTTTTAGAGAGAGAGGAAGGGACAGGAGGAGAGAGAAACATCGATGAGCGAAATATTGATCGGCTGCCTCCTGCACGCCCCATACCAGGGAATTGAGCCTGAAACCCAGGCATGTGCCCTGACCAGGAATTGAACCAGCAACCTTTTGGTGCACAGGACAATGCCCAACCAACTGAGCCACCCCAGCCAGAGCTAACTCCCTACATATTATGCTTAAAGTTTTTAATAGCAGTGTAATTTTTTTTTGAGTATTTAACCTTTAAGAAGGTCCATAAAGTCAAAACTATTTTCATGATACTCAAATGTTATTTGCCTTTTTCACTGCATTCTCTCTGTGTATAGTGGCATTTTCCAGAGGCTATGTGATATGGGATGACATCATTCCTCTGGCAGTGGCTAATGAAATGTGTGCTGTGTGTTCTTTATTTTTTAAATAACAGCTTTATTGACATACCATACAATTCACCCCGGCAAACATTACTCAGTTTTAAAACACATTGTGATATCACTACAGAATTATTAGTATGGCTCAAATGAAAAATGGTACCCAGCTGGTGTGGCTCAGTGGTTGACTGTCAACCCATGAAACAGGTCACAGTTTGATTCCTGGTAAGGGCACATGCCCAAGTTATGGGGGTGCAGGAAGCAGCTGATCGATGATTCTCTCTCATCATTGATGTTTCTATCTCTCTTTCCCTCTCCCTTCCTCTCTCTGAAATCAATAAAGAGGTATCCTATATAATAAAACCCTAATATGCAAATTGGCCAAATGGCAGAACAATGGGTCTCTATGATGCGCACTGACCACCAGGATGCAGATGCTCAGTGCAAGAGCTGCCCCTGGTGGTCAGTGCACTCCCACAGGGGGAGTACTGCTTAGCCAGAAGCTGGTCTCATGGCTGGCGAGCGTAGCAACAGCAGCAGTGGCAGGAACCTCTCCCGCCTCCGCAGCAGCACTAAGGACCCCTCAGGGGATGTCCGCCTAAGCCAGCAGATGAACATCCCCCGAAGGGTCCTGGATTGTGAGAGGGTGCAGGCCGGGCTGAGAGGAACCCTCCCCCTTCCCCAGTGCACGAATGTCATGCACTGGGCCTCTAGTATTTTATAAAAAGTGGCAATGACACCAAATTGTAGCAAGGATGCAGAGAAAATGGATCACTCATACATTGCTGGTGGGAATGTAGCATGCTCTAGAAAATAATATGGAAGTTTCTTTTTTTTTAAAACTTTAGTGAGCTGTAATTCATATACCATGTAATTCACCCACTTAAGAATGTACTTGTAGTTTCTTATAAAACCAAATGTATGTTTATCATATGACCCACCAGTTGTCATTTGGCAATTCATCCCAAAAGAAATGAAGTACTGATACATGCTACAATATGTTCCTACAAAACCTGTGACTGGGTGTCCACAACAAGTTTATTTGTAGTCGCCCCAAACTAGAACAACCCAGACATTCTTCAGCAGATGAACTGTTGCACAAACTAGTACATTCATATCACAGAATACTACTCAGCAATCAAAATGAATGAACTATTGATACATGCGACCGCTTGGATGGACCTCAAAGATATTATGCTGAGTAAAAGGGCCAATCTCAGAAAGTTGCATATTATATGGTTCTGTTATATAATATTCTTGAAATAACAGAACTATGAGATGGAGATGAGGTTAATGGTTGTCAGGGGCTAGGGAGGGGAAGAAAGGGAGGTGAATGTGTCTATAAAGTGGTAACAACAGGGAACCTTGTAGTGATGGAATAACTCTGTCGTGACTGGTGGTGGTCACATGAGTGTGTATGTGAAATTGCACAGAATTAAATACATGTGCACTCAGATGAGAACATGTAAAAAATGGTGAGATCTGAACAAGTGGACCCGGTCAGAGTCACTCTCCTGGTTGTGAGATTGCACTAAGGGAAGTGTACATACGCTCTCTCTGCCTTATTTCTCAACAGCTGCGCGTGAAGCTATTATCTCAAAAAGTTCAAAATGTAAAGAAAACTAAATTCTTCAGTTTTCATTTTAATCCAGTAAATACGAATAGATAGAACCTACATAAACAAAAGCTCTCTAGAGTCCTTAGTAATCTTTAAGAGTATAAACACAGAAACATTTGGGGCCCCATGCTGCCCGGTGCACACCTCGGCTGTGTGGCCCATTGTGTAAGTGCATGGACTCGGATCAGATTTTGAGCTTGAATATGGTTCTGCCTGTCATTCCTGGTGTGTCATGTGGAGGTTATTTAACCTCTTTAGCTTCAGTTTCTTCAACTGTAGAGTTAGTACTGAACCCATCTTGTAAGGTGCTCAGCAAATATTAGCTACAGTTGAGGAAAACAACCTGGGCTGAGGGTCAGGACATCGAGGTTCCTGCCCTGCTCTGCTCTAAGGTAATATCAGCGTGAGCTTGGCAGTCCTTTCCCTCTCTGGGTCTTCCTTCCTCTTGTGTGTGAACAACTGCTATCCAAGGACTCTCCCAGCTCTGACATCCTGAGTCATTATAGGACCAGAGAAGGCCTCGCTAAGGTGACACACCTGGAAGGAGGACTTTCCTGCTCAGTCCGTTTCCAGGCACCTGAACACCTGGACGTGTACTGGAGAGAGGGCACCTTCTTGCATCTGTGAGCTGCTTAGGGAACGTCACGTCTTTTGGTTGTTTGCTCCCAGGTGGCTTCAGGGTGAGAAGCAGGGGCAGTTGGGAGATGCAGAGGAGCCTGGGTGTTAGTGGGGGCTACCTCTCAGCCTGCAGCCTTTTGGTTTCCCAGGAAGCTCCTGTTTGGTGTGTAGAACACATGCTCTGCAGCCACACTGAGTCCAGGTCCTGGCACTGACACTAACTATATGGGCTCAGGCTCATCATGTAACTGCTTTGCGCCAAAGGTGCCCCGTCTGTAAAAATCCTACATAATGGAAGTGTATCATGCAAATTGTCCCCTCAACCGGGAGTTGTCCGGGAGTTCGGCCAGGCGGGTGGGGCCGGCCAGGGGATGGGAGGGAGTACCCGGCCGACAGCCGGCAGCCGCTAGGGACCAGTGCACGGCACGGGCCTCTAGCGGGATAATAAAAATGCCCACCCCACAGGACTGGGGTGAGTATCTTGCACCTGTGGGTGCAAGATCTGAATCCACTGAGTGACAGCTGTTCTGTTACTTACAACTCTTTGGAGTTTCTCTGCTTCACACCATCTTCGCAGGGAGGCTCCTCTGTCCTGGAATGCCATTTGCTCCCAACTGGTCTCCTGGCTGACCTGGGCACAGCAGTGAGGAGAAATGCGTTCTTAAGGGCCTTTATAAGAGTCAGTTTGCGTTGCCGGCCAGGTCCTGTTGCTGAACCAGCATGTCCTGTCTACCCGCCCGTTGGAGTGGGTTGGTCCCTTTTTTCGTGTTTACCGAGCGTGTGGCTCCGGGTGTTACCCCCCTAACTTCCATATGGGCAGGAGGCACTCGCTGAGGGCCTGTTTTCTCCTCTTGTGTGCTGCCCTAGGGCATTCTGTATGTGCTGAGGGAAGGGTAAGGTGTGGCCGGACTTTATTAAGGCCAAGTGAACTACCGGGGCACCTGGTGAGAACTGCACAGGGGCACATGCAGCTCTCCTGAAATGAGCAGAGTGCCTTTGATCTAAATGGAGAGTTTGATTCAGATAGCTAATGGCAGCCATGACCATAAAGGTGGCCCCTCACACACAAGTGACCCATCCTGCAGAGCTGCCCCTGCCTCTCAGTGCCCTTTCCTCTCCCCCCCTTTCCTTGGCCAGCCCTGCCAGCAGGGTGCCTCCTGTCAGGATCGGGTGCACTCTGACAGGCCACTTGGCTGAGTGCTTCCCCCTTCATCATTCCTCACCCTGGGCAGCTCTTCAGCTCATCAGCATGGACTTCTTTTATCTTTACTACAGGATCCCAAACTGAGGGGAGTGGTGGGGCTTTAGAAACATCCCAGCTCCTCGCTTCTGTTACCTCTTAGGTCAGCGGGTCCCAAAGTTTCTCACAGGATGCCATATGGAAAAGGGGCTTCGGGTACACGTTGTCAACTCTCAGTAATTAATTTAAAATCAGTACATCTCTCCTCCCACTTAAGAGGAGCTCTGCCAGTGCAGCATTTCACCCAAACCCATTTGCTGGTGGGACCCTTTTCTGTGAACTTAACCATTTGGATGCCCAGGGTGGGTCACACTGGCCAGTTTTGCTGTGGAGTGGGAGGGAGGAAAAGTTGTGAGGCTGCTGGTTGCATTGCACCCTTACATGGAAAGGGGATGGGCAGCCAGATGGGCAGGGCTGGGAGAAGCCAAGGAGTCCACAGAGAGAAGGGGCCTCTGGCACTGATGGAGCCTGAGGAGGCTGGGGCACCGGATGAAAGGCTCGCATCATCCCAATGATTGAAGTGGGCACCCTTTGCAGAGATCAATCCTCAATGGCAGTTTTCTAAATGGCCACTAGGTGGGGATGGTTCCCAGGAGGCCTACAAAATGAGGCACACCTACGCCATTGATAGAATTTGCCCATTTTTTTCCTCACTATAAAACTGTAAATTTTACAACCTCCACAGGTAAGCTTTAGCAAATTTTTTTTTCCTGCATTTGGCCCCTCCTTCCCCCTGTTTGCTCTGCACCTCTCCCAAGTGACCTCATCCATCTGTTTATGACCTTGGGGACTTTTTTATCATGGCCCACTTTCTCACAAGTTGAACATTAGATAGAAGAAAATGTCGCATAGGCTTTCCCTCTGAAAATAGGAATCACTCTTTTCATCTGCTAGAGTGAAAGGCATGGAAAAATCTGGCATCATTCACTAAACATATTAAAGAATCTTTCAGTTCCATTCTAGAGCTAGTTAACAGTGAGATACATAAAGAGGAGAGAGCCAGCTAGAAAAATAGGGAAGGGAGAGAGACAAGGAAGAAATAACATCGATGGGCGGAGGCAGCAAGAACTGCAGCAAAGGTGGCTGAGCACACTTGGAGGTGAGCGGCACTTGGCCGCACTGGACAGTGTCTCTTAGACATAGTGGGTTGCAAACTGTCTTTGAACTGTTCATGGGCTGGTCAGCCACTCGTATGGCCCTCCAAAAGCTATAACCAGTACATTATTAGAGGACTTACATATGGCGAAAGTTATTCTCCGAGTACAGCCACTGTGATTGTGGTAGCTCATCGATGACCCACTGGGAAGGTGGACGGAAGCTTGGCCATCAGTGAGTTGATGAAAGAGTCTGCTGGCAGAATGTCCTTTTTTTTTCTTCTTCTCTATTCAATTTATTTATTTATTTATTTATTTATTGCTTAAAATATTACAAAGGGTATTACATATGTGTCCCTTTTTTCCCCCCCACCCTTGACAATCCCCTGGCCTCCCCTGCCTCCCAGTGTCTTATGTCCATTGAGAATGTCCTTTTCATACTGTTCCTCACCCACCCCTGTGCCCTTTGGTTTTTCAAACATGGTGACCTAGCTCCTTGCTACCCAGAGTATGAGTCATGGAGTGCCAACCTTGGCATTACCCAGGAACTTATTAGAAATGCAGACTGTCAGACCTCACCCTAGACTATCAGATTTTGCATTTCATTTTAATAAGATCCCTGGGAGATTCATGTACCCAAGTTAGAGCATGAGAAGGACTGACCTAGCTCATCAAGTCTTTCAAACTTACTTCTGAAACTCAGGCAGTATTTGAGGACAGATAGAACTTAGATATTTGGAAACATTCCAAGACATTGATCCTCCCCATTTCTGATTTTCAGCTTCAGTTTCTAAATAGTATATAATAAAAGGTAGTTTTGGCCCTGGCTACATGACTCAGTTGGTTGGAGTGTCGTCCTGTACACCAAAAGGTTGCAGGTTCAATCCCTGGTCAGGAAGCATATGGGAGCAACCAATCCATATTTTTCTCAAATTGATGTTTTTCTCCCTCCCTCCCTCTCTCCTCCTTCCCCTCTCTAAAATCAATAAACATATCTTAGGGTAAGGATTTTTTTTTTTAAGGTAGGTTTGGAGGTCTTTGTAGATTTGACAGCAAACAAATTTTACTCTTAAAATTGTGGTCTTCTGACTCCTTCATCAAGCATTTGTTACACTTGCCAATCTCCTGAGTCTTATTGATGAACCCCAGATAAGAATGGTGAAGGGCCCTGGACAGGGGATTTGAGGCAGTGATATTGTGTCCAAAAAAAAAAAAAAAAAAAGCAACTGAGGTTTTCCCTGGGTGGCATGGTATGAGGTCTGAAAGGGCTTGGGTTTGATAGGCCCTGCCAGCTCACTGTGTCAGAGCTGGGCCATCAAATGCTCCATTTTTTCCACTTTTGGCAAAGATTGGAGTGACCTCTTTTCCATGCTTTTTGGTCCTTCATAAAGGGTAAGACCTTTGAGGGACATTCATTTTCTCACTGTCTGGTTTTCTGGGTCAAGATGAGGTCATGACACATGAATGTGTTCACCGGGTTCTGTGCCCCTGGGGAAGAAGATCTGGCCAGGGGTCCAATTCTTTTCCGGATTCCGTAGTCAGCCAGGCCAGCATGCAGTGTTTGTTGGACAAATGGATGGGTGACTTTGAATGAAAGAATGCTTGAAGTTGAATGAAATGACTGATAACAGATCTTTGCCTGTTTTCAAGTTGTTGAGAGAGTCCCTCTTGCTGGTAAAAGGAGGGGTTTTATGTTCTGTGTGGCTCCTCCTCTGTCTTGAGGGCAGTGATTTTTGAACAACCATGAAAAGAGCGCCTTCTTTGATTTTTGTAGATGGCAGTTGAATTTCTGCATGAATTGAATGTTCCATTTTTCAAAGTTGGATCTGGGGACACTAACAATTTTCCTTATCTGGAAAAGACAGCCAAAAAAGGTGAGTGTTTAATCTCTGTCATAAAATATGAGGGAGTCCACACCACGTTTTTACTCCTTTAGTGGCAGCTAAAAGAGTAAATCAGACTTTAGAAAACTCTTTTCAATCTGCACATACTTCCATTTTTTCATATGCTGACTTGGAAGAGAAGAAATTAAGGATAACACAGTTGTTATAAGGACTTAATTAAAATTATTTTTAATTTATAAGAACTTATACAAAATTGGAGATTTGAGGCCATAAAACTTCTTAAAGAAAGCTCTGAGAAATATTCTTGAGGTATATTATAATATCTAACATATGCACATTAGTTTGTAAGGCAGGGTTTACCATATGAGTGATCTCATTTGATTCTCACAGCTCCTCTGGGACTTTATACTTATGTCATAGACGAGGCATCTGAGATCACATAGCTAGTGAGTGGCAGCCCTGGGTTCTTGAATCTGGAGTCTGTGCTTATCCTACCACACAGTACAACCTCTTAATCCAATGAGATGCTCATCTTTCTTTGAGGTGTGTGAAATCACTCTGACTCCTTAATTCAGTTCACTTTTCTAAACTATAATGTCGGGGGGTGAGGGGAGTCTGCATTTCCCATAGTCGAGGGCAGGATCCCACCAAGCTCCCCTCTGTTCCTCCACAGTGGCTGGCAGAGTATTTGAGAGATGTTTGTGAAGTTCGGTTGATCAGGTGACCAGCAGTTGGGATTTGCTTGGGGGAGAATCAGGACCACTAAAAGAAAGTGACGATGGTGCTCGTGTTTGGTCACTCAGGCCGCCCAATGGTGATCTCCAGCGGGATGCAGTCGATGGACACCATGAAGCAAGTCTATCAGATTGTGAAGCCCCTCAACCCCAACTTCTGCTTCCTGCAGTGCACCAGTGCATACCCGCTCCTCCCTGAGGATGTCAACTTGCGCATCATCTCGGTGAGCAGGAGGAAGGGCCATTGTCTCATTGGGCCATTTGAAAATGGCTTTTCTTAGGACATTTACTGCAGGGAAGATGTAGCCTTTTTTCTCTCTCTTATACATTCTTTTTTTTTAAGTATTTATTGTGGAAAATATTACATATGTTCCCCTTTCCCCCCATTGATGTAGCCTTTTATACACACAAAATTCTAACCAATATTGATATGCTTCATAACTTGAGCCCCCTTTGACAATCTTGCTGTTATAGAATCAAATTAGAACCGATCAGGCAGCTAAGGAAGCAGGTACATTCTATAGAGGGTGATTATAAATTAAATTTTCTTAAAACCAATCTTAATTTCACCCATTATTAAATATAAGTCCTCGTAATTGTCTCTATACATTTATTTTACCCATGTGTATTGACCATTAGAGGTCCCTCTTCTGTGAATTGCTGGCTTATTAGTGAGTTATCTTGTGTGTGTGGTAAAATAAAAGGTTTACCATTTTAACCATTTTTCGGTATACAGTTCCAAGGTATTAAGTACGTTTACAGTGTTGTGCTACCATCACCACCATCCATCTCCAGAACTTCTTCATCTTCCCAGACTGAAACCATCCCATCAAACACTAACTGCCCATTTCCCCTTCCCCTGGCAGCCACCATTCTTCCTTCTGTTTCTATGAATTTGACTTCTTAAGGTACTTCCTATAAGTGGACTCACATAGTATTTGTCCTTTTGTCTTCTTTCATTTAGCATAATGACTTCAAGGTTCATCCATGTTGTAGAATGTGTCAGCATTTCATTCCTTTTTAAGACTGAATAATATTCCATTGTATGTATATAGCACATTTATCTATCCATCAATATACATTTTGGATGTTTCTACCTTTTGGATATTGTGAATAATGCTGTTAGGAACATCAGTGTAGAAATATCTTTTTTTTTTTCTTTTTCATTTTTAAAAAAATATATTTTATTGATTTTTTACAGAGAGGAAGGGAGAGGGATAGAGAGTTAGAAACATCGATGAGAGAGAAACATCGATCAGCTGCCTCCTACACGTCCCCTACTGGGGATGTGCCCGCAACCCAGGTACATGCCCTTGTCTGGAATCGAACCTGGGACCCTTCAGTCCCCAGGCCGACGCTCTATCCAGTGAGCCAAACCGGTTAGGGCTAGAAATATCTTTTTATCTTCTTCATATTGAGTTGTAGGCGACCTTCTGAGACTTCTGGCTTTTCCTGCTCTGTGTTTTTTGCTAGCTCTGATACATTTCTACCTGTAATTCTGCGCATCCCTGAGGCTCAGGCTGTTTACGTTGACAGCCTTGAGGGAGCTTTTTCTCTCCCAGGATTTTGTGCACCCCAACTCAATTAAAGATGGTGAAGTCTAGTCCCAAAGGGAAAAACACTTATTGGAGATCTCACAGCAGCTTGGTGGCAAAGCTGAGACTAGAATCCTTTGTCTCTTACTGTCTTGGGCCAACTTTTGTCGGTACCTGGAACTTAATTAGAAGTGTACATATATGTAATTACCATCTGAAAACATTAAATTAGTGTAATTCTAAATATATGTACACACATAATCATGATATTGCAATTGACCAGTTTTCCTTTTACATTTTCCTTTCAGTACAGTATTCGACATTGTTTTATTTTCATGACAGTCTAAACTTTTGTACATGTTGCTGCAGTATTCATCTCTCACTTTAAAAAATTAACCTTTATAGCCCGGCTGGCATGGTTCAGGGGTTGAGCATTGACCTATGAACCAGGAGGTCATGGATCCATTCCCAGTCCAGACACATGCCCAAGGTGCAGGCTTGATACCCAGTGGGGGGGGGCGTGCAGGAGGCAGCTGATCCATGTTTCTTTCTCATAGTTGATGTTTCTATCTCCCTCTCCCTTCCTCTCTGAAATGAATAAAAAATACGTTTTTTTAAAAAATTAATGTTATTTGAAAACTGACACTATCTTTTTACCTAAATTTTCTGTCCCTCCTAGTTGATAGTCTTTTCTCTATTTCTAGCCATCTCTTAATGCTCTGATTTTAAAAATTTAAACATGCTTTTTAAAAACCCAAACAGCTTTGAGTTATAGAACATAGAAAGTGAATGTTCTCTTAATCCCATGCAAACAAGATTGCCATTATCAACAATTTATTATATGTGACTCCAGATATTTTCCTTCTCTGCGTAGCATGGTTCCCCCTTCCCTTCCAGACCCATCCGAGGTGCAGTCATGTCTGTCTGCTCTCGATACCAGGGCACAGTGAGTGATAAATTGCCAGCCCTCCCATCTCGGGCCCAGCCCACCATATTACAGCAGTTTGCATTCCCCAGCCTAGCCACCTGCACTCCCTGTCCATCACGCACCCTTTAAAGCCTGGTTTTCAAGGCTTTTGCCGCTGAGCTGTCCTAATATTTTATTAAACCCCATCTGGATCTTTCTACTGTACTTAAGCTTTCTGGTAGCCCTCACTGACAAGACTCACTCGACTTAGAATGTCTTTTGTTGCATTCAGTGAATTATAGATAACAGATTAATTATTTAGCATTTCTACCAAAGGATTGTTTTGAGATTGGGCTATATACATTATTGATGATGATATATGTGCATATAGCACACTTGCTTTCAGCAGTTCAGGCTAATTAAATGTGACAGATGCCTTTGGAATGAGAGTTTAGGCATCTGGTTATAGCTGTTATTCCTGGTGGTTTGTGCAGTGAGAAACATTCTTAAAATGCCTTTTCGATAACAGTAGCCATTATTTTTTGAGCGTCTACATGTGTTGAGTGTTTTCCATGCGTCATGGCAGTCCTCGACAGCTATTGCCCCGGTGAGGAGAGGCCCGGAGAGCCTGATTGTCTTGCCCATATTGTACAAATGGCAAGCTGCTAAACTGGAACTCTAACCCAGATCTGCCTGACTCGGGAATATATGCATGAAATACCACAATATTTAACCAATTTTTTTTCTTTTCCTATTTAAAGGAATATCAGAAGCTCTTCCCTGACATTCCCATAGGGTATTCTGGGCATGAAACAGGAATAGCAATCTCTGTGGCCGCTGTGGCTCTGGGGGCCAAGGTTTTGGAGCGTCATATAACTTTGGACAAGACCTGGAAGGGTAGTGACCACTCGGCCTCGCTGGAGCCTGGAGAGCTGGCCGAGCTAGTGCGGTCTGTGCGCCTTGTGGAAAGGGCCATGGGCTCCCCAACCAAGCAGCTGCTACCCTGTGAAATGGCTTGCAACGAGAAGGTGGGTTCTGCCCCACCCTGCTGGGCTCCCCTGTTCGAGAGGGCCGAAATGGGTTTACCTGCTAGGGAGAGTCAGTACCTACCCTGCCTGAGCCCAGGCCAATGGGAAGATAAAGGAATATCACTCCAACCTTCTGGCCTTATATGAGCAGGGGGAGAAACATACTACTTAAGGCAGTGGTTCTCAACCTTCCTAATGCCACGACCCTTTAATACGGCTCCTCATGTTGTGGTGACCCCCAACCATAAAATTATTTTCCTTGCTACTTCATAACTGTAATGTTGCTACTGTTATGAATCGTAATGTAAATATCTGATATGCAGGATGTATTTTCATTGTTACAAATTGAACATAAAGCATAGTGATTAATCACAAAAACAATATGTAATTATATATGTGTTTTCTGATGGTCTTAGGCGACCCCTGTAAAAGGGTCATTTGACCCCCAAAGGGGTTGCGACCCATAGGTTGAGAACCGCTGCCTTAAGGGAGCTTTAGTAGTTCCTCTGGCTGCCTACGATCATGTTATAATTTCTCATCTAAGTCTCTGAAGTATGTGACACCAGGCTCTAGACTCCAGGAGATGTAAGGGGAGGTGATGATATCCAGGGCCTCATGAGGCACTCAGACAGATTAAGTCTAGGGTCCCTTGGAGTAGGTAAGCCTTGAAAAACATTCAGGTAGAGGGGTGCTATGAGGCAGTGGGAGAAGGGCCTGTGATATATGTTAAGGCATCCCTAATCAGGAGGCACTGGGAGAATGGGGGTGGCTGGTTGTCAAGGGGGTTAGTGGGGGGATGACGCAAATATTCTCTCAGGAACAGTTTGAGCTGTGTAGCATTGACCTTCGGACAGAGGGGATGGTGAGGCCAAAGAACACTGCCTGGCACACTCAAAATCTGGGCTTCTTGGAAGGGGTGGCTTAGGCCCGTCTTGGCGTCTGAGTCACAGAGCCAGGCGACCCAGGGCCGGCAGGAGTACAGACACTCCTAATCTGCTGCAGGCTGTCTGGGTGAAGGCAAGATCAACCACCAGGCTGCATGGGGAGTGTTGTCATCTTTTATTCTGGGGGGACCCTACTCACTTCCCTCAAATCAAAGATGCATAGATAATAGGAAATTATAATAGTAAAAACAAAATAGTAACAAGACAAACAAAAAACCTGATAGAGGAAAGGGGGAGAGAATTGTACCCGAAACCAGAATGAGAACTAAGTGCATAATTTGGTTCTAAGTCTCCTGGCTCCCTGAGCAAACAGTGAAACATAACAGGATGCATAATCTGATATTGCTCGTTGATAGACATTTGTCCTAGTACTAAATTCCAGAATTGATTCCTTGGCTCTTAAATGAAGGATAGAGAGGAATATAAATGCATTGTGGACAAAACTTAGAAATGCTGGTCGTGGAGCTTCAGGTATCCTTCATCCTGCTCGCCCGCCCATTCTGTCTGCCCCATCCTAGGAGTAGCAGTCATACTCATCATCTTGTGAGACCTCCATATTCCTACTTCACTGAGCAATGTGGCCCGTAAGGTTCATGTCCCTTGAGAGCAGTGGGCCAGGAATAAGGAATCCTAGGTTCTCTTCCCAGCTCCTTGCAACCTTAACCAAGTTACCCATTCTCTTTGTGCCTCAGTTTTCCCAAGTTTAAAATGAGATATTGACTTTATCAGGAGGAGCATTCTATGTTTCAGGTAGATTACATATATTATCACTAATCCTTATTGTAGTCGATAAGATGGAGGCACCATTATTTCCCATTCTACAGAGAAACTGTAAGGGTTCCATGAGGCAATGGGAGAAGGCTCTGTTTGGTGACATATCCAAGCCTTTTTCTTTGCATTTTATTGTGAAGGCCCTTCCTCTGAATCTGAGTTCACCCACACTGGCCAAGTCCCTGCCATGTGTGACATACTACTCTAGGCACCAAGGGTGAGGGTGAGAACAGTCCCTATTCTCAAGACACCTTGTGAAGACTGATCAGGCATCTTGAGTATAAAGCAATGTGCACTAGTTACTTTTGTGAAACTAGCACTGAGTGTTACTTTTATCCACAGCTGGGCAAGTCTGTGGTGGCCAAAGTGAAAATTCCAGAAGGCACCATTCTAACAATAGACATGCTGACTGTGAAGGTGGGTGAGCCTAAAGGCTACCCTCCTGAAGACATCTTTAGCCTGGTGGGCAAGAAGGTCCTGGTCACTATTGAAGAAGACGACACCATCATGGAAGAATCTGTAGAAAACCATGGCAAAAAAATCAAGTCTTAAAATAAAGTGCCAGCCCTAACCGGTTTGGCTCAGTGGATAGAGTGTCGGCCTGCGGACTCAAGGGTCCCAGGTTCGATTCCGGTCAAGGGCATGTACCTTGCTTGCAGGCACATCCCCCGTGGGGAGTGTGCAGGAGGCAACTGATTGATGTTTCTCTCTTATCGATGTTTCTGACTCTCTATCCCTCTCCCTTCCTCTCTGTAAAAAATCAATAAAATATATTTAAAAATAAAAAAAAAGATAAAATAAAATAAAATAAAGTTCCATTCTCTGAATTCTGAATTGCCTTGTTAATAGTGTTGGTTATGTTGGGTGAGGTGGGACAGGAGTGGTCTCCAAAGACATTCTCATCCACTCCTGTCCCTGACAGCAGGCACTTTTGGGCCAGGCCGTGTGTCAAGCTGTTGGAGGAATACAGAAAGCAAATACAACCATTTCTGCTTCAGGTTGGCTGGCCCAGAAGGGGAAGTGGGCTCAAAAGCAAATCACCACCTCCAGTTGTGTGGGTGCAAGAGGGACGAGTGCTGGCTGGATAGGTCCTGTCTTTTAAGCCTTCATTCTTATTGCCCACAAAGGCAACCCAAATGACCTGAAATCTCCCTTCCAGACCTCCAGCTGTCTTTCTCCATGGCCCTATCCCCTGCCCACTGTGGGGCTCTGTGTTCAATTAGCTGTATAGTGATCACTTGGTGTTAGAGAAAGTATTGGTCAAAGGGTCTTGCAGGCAGTGTAATACCCAAGGTGCTCATATCTCTGAGAAAAGAGAGAACTTCTTTCAATAGCGCTGAAGGGTCTACTACGTGGCAGACTCTTTTAGGTCCTGAGGATGAGTCCAAATCCCTTCCTCATGGAACTTCCATTCAGGGGGGGACATACGGTATACAATAAACCATGAACATAGTCGTTAAATCAGTATGTTCAAAGGTGATATGTGCAATGGGGGTAGAGGGGAAATAGAACCGAGTGAGGGAGATGGGGAATGTGGGGCTTGGTGTGTTAGCATGTTGTGGCGACTTTGAATATGATGGTAATGCTGAAATCAGCCCTTCTATGATCCATAATGAAATTGTAAACCCAGCTAATAAAAAAGATTGTCTTGCCCTAACCGGTTTGGTTCAGTGGATAGAGCGTTGGCCTGCTGACTCAAAGGTCCCAGGTTCGATTCTGGTCAAGGGCATGTACCTTGGTTGCGGGCATATCCCCAGTGGGGAGTGTGCAGGGGGCAGCTGATCGATGTTTCTCTCACATCGCTGTTTCTAACTATCCCTCTCCCTTCCTCTGTAAAAATTCAATAAAATATATTAAAAAGAAAAAAAAGATTGTCTTATGTTTGAACAGCAGCATGAACCTTTCACAGAGATTTCATATCATATTCCCCTTTGTTCTTTTGAACCAATAGAGATTAATGATTCTTTTCAAATATATTTTCAAATTCTTAATCTTTGTTCACATTTGGCCTTGTTTACTATAACTCCTCTTGTTTCAAAGTGTATATTTGCATCTTTTCAAATGCATAAATTTGCCTTTTGAAGTTTATTTACTTGTGAGTATAGAACCTTCTCTTGCAGATCCCAAAACAGTTTCTGGAAAGGTACTCAAGTCTGTGAATGGGGTGGGATAGGAATCCTGGGTTGTACTCATGTGTAAAAGAAAACCCATAAAATTGATATGCTAAGAACTGAAGTGTGATAGTATCAATTTCTGGTTGATACTCACTCCCTTTCATTTTTTTCCCTATAAACAGACCTTGAAGAGACCATCAAAATTTCCTATTCCAGGGCATTTTCTCTCAACAATAGCAGAGAAGGTGACATTTATATATCTGAAACTTCCTAACAAGAAGAGACATAGCATTAGAGGGATGTGTCCCAGGGCCTGGAAACAGGATGTGGGTCAGGAAGAGAGGGAAGGGCCTGGCCTGGGCTCTAGCTGAAAATGTGTAGTGAGTGAACCAGTCAATCACCTCCACAAACAGCACCCCCATATGTATGAATTGCTGAGATGTTTTCCAAGAGTCATGAAAGTGAGGATGGTATAGTCAGGGAAGACCTCCTGGAGGAGGTGGCTCTTTAGTTCAACCTTGCAGGTTGAGAAGTGACTGATGGAGTTAGGGCATAGGCTTGGGAAGTGCCCAGAGTGTCCAGGAACTAGCAGGTGATGATTTGGCAAGGAATGGCCACATGGAGAGGAAAGAAGGGACTTGGAATGGGTCAAGAAAGAAGCAAGGGCTTAAAAGCCTGCTGAGTTTGGACTTTGTTCTATAGGCAATGGTGAGTCATGGAAGGCTTCTGAGCAGAACATGGTAGACTCAGACCCACGCCTCCCACTCTCACATCCTCCATCTAGCTTGGCTTCTGGGGCAAGCTGTCCCCTCCCCATAGTATGAATTCCTGCCCACCAGAAAGAACCAAAGATGGCTTTAGTGTTGGTAAAGGATGATCACAAAAAATGCCAAAAGCTACATAATACTGTCATGGATAGGAATAGCTGGGAGGTAGGGTTTGTTTTCACGTAAGGAAGAACTTAGTGAATTCTCTTCAGAAGTGGTGAAGTCCCCTTCACTGAAGACATTCAATCAGGGACCCACTGACCACTGCAAACAAATGGTGGAGGGGGTGGAAAATGAGCAAGACTCCGTCCAGGCCTAGATGCCATGAACATGAAACAACAACTCCCAATGCAGACTATGGTTAAAAGACAATATTCAGCCCTGGCCAGGCCCAGTTGGTTGGAGTGTCCTGTACACCAAAGGTGGCAGGTTTAATGCCCAGTGAGGGCACATACCCAGATTGCAGGTTTAATCCCTGGCCGACCGATTGATGTTTCCTCTCTTGAAAAATAAATTTAAAAATTTTAAAGAGACAAATATATTTTACGTAAACATATATATTATAAAATTGCTGTCACACATATCTGCAAGCAATTTGCTGTATCAATTAAGAAATTTCTACAAATCTGAGTGATCAATACCCTTGCAGACATGGACCCCAGGAAGCTCAGTCCTCTCCTGTTAATATGCAAGGAAGCTCCTGCTACTGCCAGATGGCAGTTTGGAGTAGCAGTTGTCTCAGTGCTAAGCACAACAGGAATTCTGCTGGGGATGCTCACACATCCTGGCATGGCACAGCTCTGTCGTTTTTAAGGCTAGTTCCTATCGTTGGCTCATGTGAGACTCACAGCACTGGCAGATAGGATCTTTACACCCATTTTACAGATGATGCTCCGAGAAGTAAAAAGTGACTAGCCTGAGGTCAGAGTTGATTGTGGACCAAAACTGCAGTTTTCCAACTGGTGCAGGCCTTGGCACAAAGTAGGCATTTGATAAAAGCCATTTTTCAACCTTTTTAGTCTCTGCTACTCTCAAATCCCCCCTCCCGTTATAAGACCTCAAGAGCCCAAGGGAGATAATCCAAAGCTAGGTTTGCCCTAACAGTATGGCCTTGTGGACATAAGCACAGACCCTAGCTCCATTAGCTGTGTGACTTGTGTGTCTCAATTTTGTCTCAGTTGGGATAACTTTCTAAGTCCTAGGGATGATGTGAGGATCACATGAGTTCATAGCCATAAAGCATTAGAACAGTGCCCAACAAAGAGCAAGGGCCATTGTTACTCGGCCCCTGTTGGCTGTGGGCCGGGGAACCAGTCTGGATTTGCAGGGATGAACAGAGATGTAGAGTCAAGTGTACCCCTCTTGCTCTGTCGGGAATGCCCCTGTCTGAATTCAGTTTTGGGCCATCCCCAGTAAAATTCCCCTTTCTCAGGATTCCTGGAGCATAGTGCTTAGATACCTATTCAAGTTAGAGTCTTAAATTATTTGGTTAGAACTAAAGGCACTTTTGAGGTTCCTTCTGGCTTGTATTCTAATTGTATTACATTGTCCCATATGAAAGTGCCATTTTTAGGTAAAAAAAAACTATTGGAAATTCTCGTTTTATGGTTCAAACTAACTAAAGCACGTAGTTTGTTTAAACCATGAGGGAGATTCAGCTTTGTGTTTTCCTCACCCTACCACTGTCCTGTCAAGCACTTAACAAGATAAATTTAATATGGTATAACTTGAAAACTGTCTAGGGAACTTGACAAATCAGGATGCTGAACCTTTAGAACTGAGGCACAGGCCCTGGAAGGAGGCCTCCCTGAGGTCCTGCTGGTTTGGCCTCCTCTATTTATGTCACTTCTGGAAAGTGGGGCTCTATGGGTTTCCTTGGCAACACCTGGATCTGAGAAGCATACTGTGTCTGGGCTGCCCAACTCCACTCACGCTCTGCTTTTGACTCGAAGACAGTGGGAAAACTGCCAGTGGTTGCTTAGTAACTGCCACCTGCTGATTCTTCCCTACATCCCCAGGAATGAATAAGCAGTTAATCTCCCAGGTTAAAGGCTGGGCCAAAGGGCAAACCAGAAACTCGTCTAGGGGCGGGAGTGCTGGGCCGCCCTTAATCACCGTGGGCTACTTTAAGCAACTTACTTTCAGGTAAGGACCTGTCTCCCGAAATGTACAATGAGGTCAGGCTGAGTGATCTGCCAGGCTCTCCCAGCCCAGCTGCTCTGTGACACTGGGAGGGCAGGGACTTACTGAACTTTTCAGGATGGGGAGAGTGCAGGACACAGCTGCCCTTAGAAAGCTTCTAATCTAGTTAGAAAGATAGCTCCCAGGTTTGTGGCCCTGATGCTAAGATTCTAGTGGCTTGGGGAGACTTCCTGGGGGACAGTTAAGCCTTGGGAAGACCGAGACAGGCAAAGAGGAAGGGCTTTCCTGTATAAATGTCATGGGGGCAGGGGAAGAGAGCTGCAAAGGCCCAGAGGCCCACCATGGGACAGTTCCGCGGGAGGGTATCTGAAAAGAGCCGCAGAAGCTAGTTGAGAAGCAGCTCAGGGGCAGCCCACGAAAACCTTGCATGCTAAGGTGCGGTGACGTGCTCTTCCCCCCTGGAGCCCTTGGAACCTTTTCACTGTCCCGAGAGGCGAAGTGCGGTTTTAGGCAGATCACCCTGGTTATGGGTGGAGGACGGGAGAGGGTTCAGGCCGGGCGCTATTAAGAGGCTCTTGATGCTGCTCCGAGGGGAGGAAACGCGGATGAGCTGAATGACGCCGACTGCAGAGGAGACCGAGCCCAGGGGCACTGGTTAGGTGGAGTCAGGGCTGGGTGCCTCTCCTGCATTCGCGCATTTATTGTGCACCTACTATGTGCCAGCCAGTTCTGGCTTCTGTACGAGGGAGGAGGGCTGAGGCTAGTGTATTGTGATTGGTCTGTACGAGGGAGGAGGTCTGAGGCTAGTGTATTGTGATTGGTCTGTACGAGGGAGGCGGTCTGAGGCTAGTGTATTGTGATTGGTCTGTACGAGGGAGGCGGTCTGAGGCTAGCGTACTGTGATTGGTCAGGATGCCTAGGGCTCACCTGCGAGGGCGTCCTTTCCGGAACCCGGACTAAAAGCAGCGCCGGGGGGCGGGGAGGTCTGCTGAGCGAGCAGCAGGGGACCGATGTTTAAGGCACGTCCGGACCCGGCCTGGGACAGCACCTGTGACACCGCAGGCGCGACCGGTGGGGGAGACGGCGGGTGTGCTTGGAGAGCAGGCGGTGGACAACGCACGTCTGGGTCGGGTGTGACCAGAGTCCCGGGAAGTCTAAGGGCGGTTCCTCCCATCGGGCCCTAGGGCAGCCGGGGGATGCCGATGGCCCCTTCCCAGAGCCGCAGGGCCGGGTAGAGCGGCTCCTGGAACGCGGCGCGGAAGGTGTGGAGGTGGCTCATGCCGTCCGACACGTTGTAGAAGGCGAGGACGCCGGCCTCGTAGTCCAGGAAGACGCCCAGCCGGTCGGGGTCGTCGCGGGGCCACAGGCGGCAGCGCTGGCTGTCGTGGAAGGCCCAGTACTCCAGGTCGTAGCGTTTGAGGCACCACGACTGGCGGTTGCAGCCCAGGCGCGCGGCGGCGGCGTCCCCGCGGCGCCGCAGGGAGGCGTAGGCCGCGCCCACCCACCAGCCGCAGCCCGCCTCCTGCACGTCCACCTCCCAGTAGTGGCGGCCGGCGGCGAAGCACTCGCTGCCCAGCACCTGCCACAGCGTGTCGAAGCGGAGCGCGGGCGCGGGCCCCAGGCGGCCGAGCAGGACGAGGCGCACCGTCCGGCGGTCGGGCGACAGGCGCAGGCGCGCGTGCATCGTGTCCGGGTCCAGCGTGGGCGTGCGCGCGTCTGCGGAGGGCGGGGACAGCACGCACGCCTGGTGGGCGGGGCCAGCGCTGCGCCCCGCCCCGCCCCCGGGAAACCGCCCGGGTTGGCGCCCGCGGACCCACACATACTCACAATACAAAAAAAATGGGAAAACCCGGAAATCGCCCTGGAGAAATGGAAAGCCCCCTTTTAACCCTGATTGCCTCTGGGAGGTGACGGGGGGAGCATGGGAAGGATAGCATATTTTACTGTCCACCCTTTATACGATTTGAATTTTGAACCATGTGATTTGTTGCCAATTTCTAAAAATTTAACTAAAAATAATCCCATCACTGTTAAGATTTGAGAGTAGCCCTAGCTGGTTTGGCTCAGTGGATAGAGCATCGGCCTGCGGACGGAAGGATCCTGGGTTTGATTCCGGCCTGGGTTGCGGGCTCAATCCCCAGTAGGGAGCATGTAGGAGGCAGCTGATTGATGATTCTCTCTCATAATTGATGTTTCTATCTATCTCTCCCTCTCCCTTCCTCTCTGAAATCAATAAAAATATATTTTTTTTAAAAAAAAAAGACTTGAGAGTATATCCTTCCAATATTTTGACTTGCTGCTTTATAGCTTTCCTTAACATTGGTATCATACCATCCATGCTCTTGGACAATCTTTTTAATAATTTACTAATGTATTTAGGAACATTTTACCACATCAAATAATATTCTTTTAAAGAGTATTTTAATGGCAAACCTAAGATTTTTATGTATGGGTGCATTATATTTAAACCCACTCCCTTTAAAATACTTACGCTTTTCATAAGGCTTTTTGAAAACGCTAATATGATTACATCTTTATGTATTTTATTATTTCTTTAGGACATATTCCTAACAGAGGAATTGCTGGGTCAACGGAGATGACTTTGGTAAATATTGCCAAATTGTCCTCCAGAAAGGTGGTAGTGATTAAACTCCCAATAATGGTTCTTGCTACATAGACAAAGTTTTGTTTTTTTAAAAAGTCTAGATCATAGGATATGTGGATATTCAGTTTCAGTAGATTCTGCCAAATAATTTTCTCAGTACTGTTTTGGAGTTTTCCATAGTGAGGTTTTAATCCTCACCTGAGGATATTTTCCATTGATTTTAGAGAGGAAGGGAGAGAAATATCGATGTGTGACAGATATCAATGAGTTGCCTCCCTTCTGCACCCCAGCCAGGATCAAACCCACAACCTAGGTATGTGCCCTGACCTGGAATCAAACCCAGCAGCCCTTTGGCGCAGGGGATGCTCTAGCCCAGGGGTCCTCAAACTACGGCCTGCGGGCCACATGTAAATACAAATATTGTATTTATTTGTTCCCATTTTGTTTTTACTTCAAAATAAGATATGTGCAGTGTGCATAGGAATTTGTTCATAGTTTTTTTTTTTAAACTATAGTCCGGCCCTCCAAAGGTCTGAGGGACAGTGAACTGGCCCCCTGTTTAAAAAGTTTGAGGACCCCTGCTCTAACCAAATGAGCCACACCAGCCAGAGCTGTGTAATTTTTTAAGGGAACAAAGATGTTCACAATGTATCAATAAATGAAACAGATTGCAAAACAGTATGTATAGTACGATACCATGTTTGAAAAAACACACATTCAATATATCGATATATGCCAAAGAAAACAAAGAGGGCAAATAATAGTAATAATCTACTGCTACATATCTACTAAGGTGGATATGAGCAGAAGAATTTCCAAAGCTCTCCAATGATTTATAGGTGATTAAAAAATTTTTGCTTTCCTTTGTTTTCTAATTTTTCTACAATAAACGTATTATTTCTACATTTATAAAAACTAATAATAATGGTTAAAAAAAACCAAGTTGGGTCTCTTAGGGAAAAAGGGGGAACTCCATTTCTGTCACCCCCCCTCCCACCAATGCACCCCACCCTCTCCCCCCGGGGGTCTTACATTTCAAGAAGAGCGATCGCTCCGGTGAGGGACTGATTTTCAACAGGGAGTCCGGCTTGGTGCTAGAGAAGCTGGAGAGCTGGCAGTTCATGTCTGCAACGAATCGTCAGAAATGAGTGCCCGGCGCTCACGCAAGCAGCACAGATTATAAAACACACCAAAACCATTATAAAACTGGAGATTCACATAAGCTCTCTCCCCCCAAATCATGCACATTTAGGTAGGAAATACAAATTCGCAGTCACAGGAGAACTCCAGGACAACGCTCAGATCTGAGGAGAAACACACTTTCCAGGGTCTGGAACAAATTCAGCAAAGGCAGGTCAGTGTGAGTGAGCCCTGAATATGGGGAGGAGACGGCAGCCTCCAGAACCATCCTGAGAATCGACTATAAACTAGTCAGCAACGGGGCAACCTCAGAACAGAAATGCAAGTTCCAGGATAAAGATGGAAAACAAGAAATTAGAGGTGAGTCCTCATCTCAATGTTTCTCTCTCTCCCCAACTCTCCCTGGAAAAAAAAATCAATAAACATATCCTTGGGTGAGGATTTTAAAAAATCTGCTTTGATAAACCAGCTCAGGAAAATCCATAGCTCAGTCCTATTGCAGCAGTGTTCTCAACCTTCCTAATGCCGCGACCCTTTAATACAGCTCCTCATGTTGTGGTGACCACCAACCATAAAATTATTTTCGTTGCTACTTCATAACTGTAATGTTGCTACTGTTATGAATCGTAATGTGAATATCTGATATGCAGGATGTATTTTCATTGTTACAAATTGAACATAATGAAAGCATAGTGATTAATCACAAAAACAATATGTAATTATATATGTGTTTTCCGATGGTGTTAGGCGACCCCTGTGAAAGGGTCGTTTGACCCCCAAAGGGGTCGCGACCCACAGGTTGAGAACCACTGTATTGCAGGCATCAGTGTCCCCAATTGTGTTCCCTTGTCTCAGTTCGCAATGCCTTTCCTGGCTCTCCCATTGTCAAAATCTTAGTGATTAAGGCCCAACTCAAGTCCCAGCTCCTCCAGCAAGGCTTCCTGATTTCCCGTCAGAATGCTCTTTCCTGCCCTGACCGGCTTGGCTCAGTGGATAGAGCGTCAGCCTGCGGACTGAGGGGTCCCGGGTTTGATTCCGGTCAAGGGCATGTACCTTGGTTTCGGGCACATCCCCAGTAGGGAGTGTGCAGGAGGCAGCTGAATCGATGTTTCTAACTCTCTATCCCTCTCCCTTCCTCTCTGTAAAAAATCAATAAAATATATATTTAAAAAAAAAAAAAAAAAAAAAAGAATGCTCTTTCCTTCTTCTGAGCTCCCTTGGCCCCAGGCTATGCCTTCTGTTACCTCATGAAGTAGGCCTGTGCTGCAGCCAGGGCCTGGCCTCACCTCTCTCCAGTTCCCAGGGGTGTTCAGTGAGTGCCTGTACCGTTTCTGCTTTGCTTCCTCTCACCCCTTTCCTTCTCCTTTTCTCCTGATATTCAGAGCTAGCACTGCCCTGCCAGCCCCATTTGACAAGGTAGCTTCCAAGGTTTTCCACCTCATCTCCCACCATTGTGCCCAGTCACCATGGCCCCCTGTCTGTGTCTAGTCACCATGGCCCCCTGTCTGTGCCCAGTCACCATGGCCCCCTGTCTGTGCCCAGTCACTATGGCCCCCTCTCTGTGCCCAGTCACTATGGCCCCTCTCTGTGCCCAGTCACCATGGCCCCCTGTCTGTGCCCAGTCACTATGGCCCCCTCTCTGTGCCCAGTCACCATGGCCCCCTCTCTGTGCCCAGTCACCATGGCCCCTGTCTGTGCCCAGTCACTATGGCCCCTTCTCTGTGCCCAGTCACTATGGCCCCTTCTCTGTGCCCAGTCACTATGGCCCCTTCTCTGTGCCCAGTCACTATTGGCCCCCTGTCTGTGCCCAGTCACTATGGCCCCTGTCTGTGCCCAGTCACTATGGCCCCTTCTCTGTGCCCAGTCACTATGGCCCCTTCTCTGTGCCCAGTCACTATGGCTCCCTTTCTGTGCCCAAATCTCAAGTTCTTCCCTCACTTTGGGCCCTTGGCACATGCTGTTCCTTCTGCCTAGAAAATGATTCTCCCAGACTAAAAACAGCAACAACAACAGCTAACACTTACACAGTGCTTATGCCTGAGCACCACTCTAAGCACTTTGCATACAAGATCTCATTTAATCCTTACTTCCTCTTACCCGTTTCCTTCTCCTTAAATGACCCTGTGAGGGGGGAACTGTATTACCATCTCTGTGTAACGGATGTGAAGACAGAGGCATAGAAAAGTTAGGTGCTTTACCCAAGATGACAGGGTTGGGCAGAGGTGGACCTGGGATAGGAACTCGGTGAGTCTGGCTCCAGAGTCATGCGGTGACCCCTACGCCCCCCAGCCCTTCAGCTCTGCAGAGCTTACAGAGGCTTCCTTCAGCTCAGCTTACATGCCCCCTTCTCAGACAGGCCTTTCCCACTTCCCTCCTCCTCCTCCCCTTCTTCCTCCTCCCCACTCTTTATTCCATTTAACCTGCTTTATTTTTCTTTGGAGCACTTACTGCTGACATATATTCATTTGTTGTCTGTCTTCCCCTCAAAAGACTGAGTACCACAAAGGCAAGAGCTGTGCCTTACACGGAATAGGGGCTCCATAAATGCTCTGAATGAATCATAATAGCAGAGATGAATGAATGAATGAATGAATGAATAAACAGATATTTCTGAGCACCTGCTTTGTTTCAGGCCCTGCAGGAACCTCAGAGCTGGACCCAAAATGGTTCTTGCCATCCATGCATGTACGAGAGGCTGGGAAGGATCCATGCATCAAAAACACCCCCAGGCAAAAATAAATAAATAAATAAAGACCCCAGGCAGGAAATGGGGCGGGCTCTGGAGAGGAAGGACAGAGGGGTAGAGTCCAGTGGCAGGCGGGGCCCAAGGTGCTGCAGGGACGGTGGGACTTGACCAGGCGGAGGAAGAGGAGGAGTTGGCCCTCCCGCTGGGACCCCAGAGCAGGCAGAATCCCAGGAGTGACTGATGGCAGGAGCAGAGCAGTGTGGCTTTAAGGGGCAGCGCAGGTCTCAGGAGGGGGAGCAGGTCTCAGTGAAGTCAGAGGTCGGTTGGGTGCAAGCCCAGGAGTCCTCGACCACCCAGCCAAAGGCCTCTGTGTGGGAGACATGATTCTTGGTGGCAGTCTTCCCTGTTGTCTCTGGGTTAAAGGGCACTAAGGGAGTAAGGGACACAGAGTCGGTCACACGGTGACTTACTGTCCTTCAAGCGAGCCTCTAGTGGCGTCTGTACCACGCTCTGCATGGCTTCCACGAGGCCCTTGAAGAAGGTCTTGATGGGCGCGAAGGACTGGGGCACAGGGTGGCACAGCTCCCCCAAGCGCATCTGCTGCTTCAGCTCCCGCTCAGTGGCCGTGAACTCCTGCAGGAACACAGGGGGTTCAGGGTGGCTCCAAGGCTGCACCAGGAACAAACCCTGGCCACCAAGTGCAGGCCCCACCCCACCCTGCCCTGGCACCATTGGTTAGCCAGGGCCCCGCCCCCAGGGATGACCTCACAGCAGACCCCACACAGCAGACTGTCATTCCTCGGTTCAAAACACTCCCCTGGTCCCCATCTCTATACGGGACAAAGTCTAAGTTCCATGGCCAGGTATGTAAAGCTCTTCATCAACAAACCTGGCCTCCCGATCCAGCTGCATCTCCCAGCTCCCCTGCACCTGCACCTCTGCTCACCTCCGGCCAGGCTGAGCGCAGGTGGCTCTCCAGCCCGCCAAGCTCTCACACGCACGTGGTTCCTTTCTGCCTGGAATGCCCCCTCTGCTTCATCCTTCTATATGCACCTCCTGGTCCTCCCACACCCTGCTCCACTGTCACCTCCTCCTAGAAGTCTTCCCTGATCCCCTATGCAGAACTGGACCTTTCTCAGCCACACTTTTGCTAGCTCACTTGAACTGTGTTGTAAATCCTGTTTCTGAGCATGTCTCTCCACCCATGAGCTGGGGCCTGGGCAGAACAGGTTGCTCAGTGAATATGTGATGAATAAATGAACGAGCAAGTGGAAGGAATGATGAATGGTGGAAATCAGTAGCTTTGGCACCAGAGAATTAAAAAGAGAGAGAGAGAGAGATGGCAAAGCCTTGAAACTCTACCTGTGATGGAGGAATGATAACATTCTTCTCCATGGAGCAGCCCTTTGAATCAGCTATCCCTAAGGGGTACCATTCTTTTATTTTTATTTATTTATTTTTAAAATATATTTTTATTGATTTCAGAGAGGAAGGGAGAGGGAGAGATAGAGATAGAAACATCAATGATGAGAGAGAATCATTGATCAGCTGCCTCCTGCACGCCCCACACTGGGGCTCAAGTCTACAACCCGGGCATGTGCCCTGACCTGGAATCGAACCGTGACCTCCTAGATCATAGGTCGATGCTCAACCACCGAGCCATGCTAGCTGGGCAGGGGTACCATTATTTTAAAAGAAACAAACAAATGTACCCTCCTGTGCCTCAAAGTACAGTAACCATTGTGCGTAGGACAGCACCTCACCCAGAATTTTTTGTTAGGCTAATTTTTTATTTTGAGTTTATTAGGGCGACATTGGTTAGTAAAATATATAGGTTCCAGATATACAAGTCTACGATACATCAACTGTATACTGTATTGTGTGTTCACCACCCCAAGTCAAGTCTCCTTCCATCACCATTTATCCCCCTTTGCCCTTTCCTCCCTCCCCCCAGCTCCCTTCCCCTCTAGTAGTCACCATGCTGTTGTCTGTGTCTATGTAGGTTTGCTTATTTTTTGTTAACTAACAATGAGACACAGGCTGAGTTGACCAAGGCCACATAAAGGCACACGAGTGGAAATATCCACCAGGGCCTGGCTTGACTGGTTTTGCATTGACAAACTTATTTGTGCTATTTTTCCAGCCGTTTGAACCCATGCAAATCTGTGGTTAGACTCGGTGCCACCTTTATACCTACACTGCTTCGTCCCAGAAGCCTTTAAAGCAACTTTCAAAGGTTATCTAATACTGCAAGAGTTCCCTTTACAGGGGGAGAAGTGAAGTAAAGAGGAAACCAGGATAAGAACGTAAGCTGGAAAACAGAGGGAGGTGAGGCACAAAACATATGCTATGAAGTCACAGCCCAGCTACTTGAAACATATTTAGCTCTGAGCTTCCCAGAAGCCATAGCAAAGAAGGAAACAGGAAGACGTACGTGAGTGGAAAGCAATCCAAATGCACAGGTGACTGCCCAGGAGTATCGACAGAAGAGAGGAGTTTCTCCCCTGGTTCCTCGAAGAAGGAACACCACCCTCAACACATGCTTTCACTAAGTGTAGCATGAACATCATAGAGGCTATTTATTAGACATTCTCTCTCTCCGTTATGGTAATAACCTCCAGGGAGCCCAGTGGCCGAGGAGTACCATTCTTCTCTCCCCCTTGAGCAAACTGCGACCCAGCTCCTGAGGATGCTCAGTAGCTGACAGGACCTTGCCTCTCCCGGTGTCTCAATGAAGACTGTATAGGTAGAGGCCTGGGCAATGATGCTCTGCAGCTTTAGGGTCAGAGAAACCTGGGTTCCGGTCCCAGCTCTGCCACCTACCAGCTGGGTGACCTCAAATGAGTCACTCCAGCTCCCTGAGCCTCAGTTTCCCATTTGTAAAGTGGGGTGAGACTATCCACTTTGCAGAGTTCTAGTAAATATTAAAGCTAAGATCCATGATGGTGGCTGTAAATGTTATTTCATTAGTCCAAGATATATATTATGTTCCTAACTACGTCTATTTCCTGACCACTTGTGTAGGGGCAAGAAAGTCTACTTGCTAACAAGGCAATTCTCTATGTATTAACTCAGTGTGTAAATACTGTGCTCAATGCCATAGTAACCACGATGAAATGTGGGTGGCGGCTGGCAGGTGGCAGCTGTGAAGCAGAAACCCAGCATTACCTGCAACAGCTGGACAGGGTCGGGCTCCTGGCTGATACTGCAGACCCTGTCGGAGAGACTGTTCAAGACGTCAATTTGGTCCTCACACGACTTGATTTGCTCCCTGTATGCCTGGAGGGTAAGCTGGGTATTCTTATCGATGAATTTCTTGGCCAGGACTTCCTCCTCATCAAGTAGCAATCTGAGTTCAGTGAATTTCCCTGTCAGCCAGATTTTACTTGACTCTGCATGAGCCTAAAAAGAAAACCCATTGCAGATGATGTGAGTGCCAACTCGGAAATCTAGGATAATCAACATGAAAAAACTATTACGACATCTAAAAGCAAGGTTCAGTCAGGGACAAGATCAACTTACAAGAACTCAAGCTTTCCTAAGGACCAGCCGTAACCAATTGGAACATGCAGGGAGAAATAAAGGTCCTTTTAAAATAATGGATAATATAGCAATGTATCTAGAAATAAAACTGGAAAAAAAGCTGTAAAGACCTAGATAAAGAAAAGTATAAAATTGTACTGAAAGACATAAAATAATCTGAATGGGTGGAAGAAAAAAAACATATCCTTGGTTGTGGAAGATTCATTACTATAAAGGTGCTATTTGGCTCAGCCAAGGTGACTTAGTGGTTGAACAACGACCTATGAACCAGGAGGTCACAGTTTGATTCCTGGTCAGGGCCATGCCCAGGTTGCAGGCTTGATGATCCCCGTAGGGGGCGTGCAGGAGACAGTGGATCAATGATTCTCTCTCATCATTAATGTTTCTATCTCTCTTCTCTCCCTTCCTCTCTGAAATCAATTTAAAAAATATTTTTAAAAAAGATGCTATTTATCTCCAACTTAGTCTATAAATTGGGCACACTCCAAATAAGTCTTAACATGGAGATTAAACAAATATTAAATTGTCATGGGGGAGCCCTGGCCAGTGTGGTTCAGTTGGTTGAGCGTCATCCTGTGTACCAAAGAGTCGCTGGTTTGATATCTGGTCAGGGCACATGCCTGGCTTGTGGGCTTGATCCCCAGTGGGGGAGAATAAGCACAAGAAAAGTAAAAAATTGCTTTAAAAACATCAATGAAGGATGAGTTGCCTTATTAAATATCAAACAAACTAACACTACAGGATTTAAAACCATACAGCTTATGCATAGATAAAATGGTCAGGAACACAGAATAAAGAGTTATAAAGCTATAAAAGAGTTATACACACACACACACACACACACACACAATAATGGTGGCATTTCAAATTATTGAAAGAGTGAACTATTCAATAAATGGTATTGGTACAATATGCAATTAACCATGTATTTGACAAAAAATTGAAGTTAGATTCTTATCCTGTATATAAAAATAAATTCAAACAGAACCCTGCCTATGAAGTAGTCTTGCCAACAGATGTGAACCTGGATCAGACCAAGCCTCTAGATCTAAACAAAAGATTCAGCATAGAGGAGAGAGGAGCGTGTGAGCCATCAACGTAAGAAATACATCAAGCAAGTGCATTTCGAAACTTTATTTCACTCCTAATTCAAACAAATAAAATGTGACACTTCTAAGACAACTGGAAATGTGACCACTGGGTGGATATTTGATGACATTAAGGAACTATTGTTAATTTTCATTGGTGTGATGATGAAACTATGGTTAGGTACTTTTAAAAAATGAGTCCTGCCCTGGCCAGTGTTGCTCAATGGTTAAAGTGTCAGCCCACACACTGAAGGGTCTCCCACACACGCCCTGACTGGGGACAGGGATCGAACCCGCAACCCAGGCATATGCCCTTGACCGGGAATCAAATCCAAGACCCTTCGGTGTGCAGGGCATGCTCTAACCATTGAACAATACCTGCCAGGGCTACAAAATAATCCGCCCCCCCCCCCAAATAATATTAATGGCAATACACGTTGTTATAACTAAAAATGTCCCCAAGAAAACTCAGGTGCAAGCATATGAGGCTGATTATGCAATATGGTTAAAAAATTTAAAAACAGGGAGAGGTAGAATTCTGGCAATGAAACAGGAAGTGCTGTCTGGTTTAGGCTGCATTGGTTCAAAGTGAAACCGGATCCCAGATTGAACTGGACTGAGGTCAGGATGCGGCTGGACGGGGCTGGGGCTGGGCCAGGGCCTGACAGTCTAGCTGAGGAGATCTAGGGGCTGTGGGGCAGAAGGAACTTGAGCAGCGACAAAGCCCTGGCCTGGGAGGCAGAGGATTTTACACATGGAATGGAAAGAAGCGTTCTGCTGAAAACAGTATGACTTTGGACAATCCTGTTATGACCGCCTCTCAGGGGCGTCCCACCAGGGAAGGAAGTGTGCTGGCCAGCCCTGCCCAGGCCACATTATTTATGACATCCGTGCACTCTGATATGTGGCAGTGCCTGGCAAGAAGGGGCAGAGGAATGGCCACGCCCAGCGGGGTGGTGGAGACCAATGGCGTGGGCAGGGTCAACAGCAAGGCCAAGCCCTCAGCTTCCTAGTCTCAATCTGGCAAAGGCTGGTTCATATCCCCTACCCCATGCCGTGGTCCAGTCCTTACAGCTCGGGTGGGTCACAGGGAAAGGTATAAAGCCAGGAACTGAAGATGCTTACACACTCCCCAGGGAGCCTGTCTAGGCTCTGCTTCCTGCCCCCGCCCCCTCCCTCGCCCCCCTGCAGGGCTGACTCCTGCAGGCCAGGATCCCCCTCAGGCTGGGTTTGATTTGGTCAATGGGAGGAGGAACTAGAGGGAGGTCAGAGGGTGAGGGGAACAGCCAGGGTATCCTGCCTCCCTGTGTCCCCTCCACCCTCTGTTCCCACAGGACGGCCCCTCTGTTCCCACAGGTTCCGTCTCCTGCCTAGGTGACCCTGGTGCTTCCTGCTGGGGCCAATTGCCTCACCACGCCCTGGTTGGCTTCCCTGCCCCTTCCGTGCCTGTCACCATTCCCTGCATTCATCTCCTCTGGGTGAAACCCCCAACGTGGCTTCTGTCTTCCTGGGTGGACCGTGATAAACACAGCCATGGCCCCAGGTCCACCTCTACCTTCCTATGTGACCAATGACAAGTTATTTCCTCTGCCTGGGTGGCCCCATCTCCAAGGCCTTCCAGCCTGACACTGTGCACATTCCAAATCCCTGCCTAGATCTGGATTCAACAGACATTAACTAAATGTAAATATACATGCATTTTCTTCATTTATAAAAGTATCAAAAGCTCCTTGTAGAATATTCGGCAGATTCAGGAAAAAAACACCCAACCACTGCATACTGTCATCTTATCCCAGTTTGAATAAAAAGTCAGGGTAGCAGGCAGGTGTTGAATTTTCCCCACACCTGCATGTATGAGCCCCCGAGGAGCCATGATGGGGACAAACAGCCTAACAACAAGGGTGTCAGGGAAAACCATTTCTTAGGTGCGGGCTGGGGATTAATGACCAAGTCCGCCTGGATTGTTCTATGAAAGGGAGTGGTTGGTTAGGCTCGCTCATTGGCTTCTGAACAGCAGACTTTGGACACTGTCTGATCTTTATTGATTTTAACTTATTTACAAGACTGTTTTATGGGTTAATTTTCAGGTGAATGGCCTTTGCCTGGCAACTGCCCTGTGTAAACGAGTTCAGAGCAACACGCTTGCCCCAGACCCCGCTGCCACAGGCCGCCGGCTACAGCTGGGCAGAACGTACAGTGATCCTCACAAATGTTGTGCCTGTTGAGCTAGAGGGATCACTTCTGGACATGGGTCCCCAAGGAAGTAAATCAAGGTGCCAGAAATGTTAGCTGCAATGCTATTTTACATTAGTGAAAAGCTGGAAATGACCTAAACGTTCAACATTAGGAAAACGGCTTAATGAGTTAACTCCCCCACTCCCTGAAAACAAACAAACAGACAACACAAAAAAAACCCCACAATCAAACAGACAACAAAAAGGGAAATCCTCAGGTGCCCCAAACAGAGGGAACTTGATGTCGGAGCCGTGGGCAGAAGAGGAGCTGAGCGGCCCCCGGGAGGGATGGGCGTACAGGTGTCTGTGACACCCCACACTGGGGCCTGCTCAGTCAGGGGGCGCGCAGGGCCCTTGGCCCGATTCCAGGGGGAAGCGAGGAGGGGGTCTCCTGCATCAAGCCAGGGTCACAGAGAGCTGTTCCATCCATGAACCAGGCACCAGAAAAACTCGCCCACTGGCCTGGGGAAGCGGCAAGGAATCTTGTCACCCATCCAAGGTCTTGGGGGAAAAGAGAGTCACTAGCAAAACAAACGAATAAACCCAATAACAGGCTTGGAGTCTGGATGTGCGGACCCTCAAAACTAAAACACTCACGTGACAACCGGTCTGGAACTGCTGAAACTCAGAGCCTGCCTCAGACGCTCACGCTACAGTGCCCTGCAGGGGCTGCTCACACCCAGGCACGTGGGGCACCGTGGAAAACGCCCACTGAAGGCCAGGGGACGACACAAACTCCAAGTCACAGAGGGAAACGAGCCGCCATGCCTCCCTCCACCCTGGATACTATATCGAAGAGTATTCGTGTACAGAAAACAAAGCCTCAAAATGTGAACTGGTGGTTGGCCTGGAGTGGCAGAATTATCGCCGAATTTTTAAAAATCTGCTGTTGACCGGGAACCGAAATATAAATGCCCACAGGAGACAGCCTGGTAACATAGTGAGGAGAGGGCAGGCAGGGCCCGGGGGAACTGGCAACGCATGTCCTTCTCATGAGCATGTCCATTGCTCAGCTCCGCGCGGGAATGTAGGCCTAGCGGGGCACAGCCTCCTACTTTTCTACGTCTAACTCTTTATACAAATACCTCTCAGCTTTAAAATGCTGACCGCTAATTTTTCTGAGAGTCACTTAGGTGTAAGTCCAATGACACGTGTTCAGGAATTGTATGCTGAAAACTACAAAATACCGATGAAAGAAAACAAAGCCCTAAATTAATGAAGAGATATGGCATGGCCACGAATCCTCAAATGCTGTAATGATAGAGACAGAGAATAAACTAGTGACTGCTAGGAGTTAGGGATGGCTGGGGGCCGGGTGGGGGTGACTATATGGGTGTAGCAGGAAGTTAGACCTTGGTCTCGATGGAACGGTTCTGTATTTTGGTTACAGCAGCAGTTAGTCAAATCCACACAGGTGATAAGTTGACATAGAACACATATACACACACTGTCAATGTTCTGGTTTTGAAATTGTACTACAGTTAGGTAAGCTATAACCCTTGGGGCAAACTAGGTGAAAGGCACGCAAAACTTACTATCTTGGCAACTTCCTGTGAATCTATAATTATTTCAAAATAAAGGTTTGAAAATTGGGGAGAAGGTTAAAAGAAAGAAAACCATTCCTTACTCTAAGCTGAAACCTGCCTCTTTAGTCCACATGGATCCTAATTCTCAGGGCCTCACGCTGTATCTGCTCGGAGACTTGCAGACAGGGGACCTGTGCCCCGATCCTGGTCTAGCTAAACAGCCCAAAGCACCGCCCCGCCCCGCCCCCATCCCATCAGGTGCGCCAACTTTGTTTCCAAATCCTCTTGAACTGATTTATCTGCCTGAGATTGGAGTCCTACCCTTGAAGATGTGAGGGACACTATTGACAATTACGCCAGGGCCATGGCTATAAACCACAACTCTACTCAGCAAACTGAGTCCTGTAGTCAGTCATCTTTCAGATAATAGATGTTGGGCAGACAGGGAGCCAATTCTGTGGCCTGGCTTGGCCTTGGCATTTCCACACCTTAGATTAAGCAGAACCCCGCTCCCTTAGGCTCTCCATGTGGCTCCTAATCTTGTCTTGGGGGCCCCACACTGTATCTGCTCAGAGATTTGCAGACAGGGGACCCCCCCCCACCCCCCACCCCCGGCTGTGGGCTACTGCCACAGTCAGAGCCAGTCAGTGAGGGGCTCATTGAGCTCTCAGCAAAGCAGGCCCTGGGAGGGCACCCCCACCCCAGCCCTCACTCCCAGGAGGGGGTGCTGAAGCTGGCCGAGTTCACATAAAAGGCCCCTAGAGACAGAACAACTTTTTCGGTCAAAATGGCAGCTCATGATACCATCAGCCCCGACTTCCCACTTAAAACACAAAAGAATCCATTTAAACAAACACCATTAGGAAAGGAGAAGCCTAAAGAAAGGAAATATTTGTGGAACATATTTATACCTTACTTTCCCTTTCACCGTGGCAGTGAAACTTAAAGAGCTATCTGTGTGTTCCTTAAGCTGCATTTTGCTTTGTTTAAGGTGTCTAGGGGATGGAGGACTAGTCCCTTCAGGAGAATGGCCTTGGCGATGCCGAGAGAAAGGCGACTCCCCCATTCTGTGAGGTATTATGGGGCAAGGCTGGGGTGTGGGGCAGAGGCAGACTCACCACAAAGCGAATGGAACAGTAGCCTCAGGCCCCACCCTAGCAAGACCCCCCCCCCCTCATGGTCTTACACCTAATATTGTTTTCTTTTGCTTAAAAAGGGCGCCCTAAATCAGTGATTTTCAACCTTTTTCATCTCATGGCACAAATAAACTAATTACTAAAATCCCATGGCCCAACCAAAAATATACTTTTCTGCCGATCTGAAAAAAAAAAAAAAAATTAGGTATAATTTTCATTCATTCGCACCGGATGGCTATTGTTGTGTTGGCTGTTGTCAGTTTTTCATTTGATCATCTAAGGGAAAAGCGGCCCATGCCTTTGACTAAATAGTCAGGTATGGTACGTTTTAGAAATTCTTGTGGCGCCCCAGTTGAAATCGCTGCCCTACATTAGAGAAGCCCAGACCCCACCAGACCTGATCGCCTTTGAGGTTGGTTTTAATTTTTCCTTGGCTGCATACTGGCTGCACCTGTGTCCGAGGAGAAACGCGGACATCTCAACTAGAAGGAGGAAGAAAGGCCCACTTGCCTTGAGCTTCTCAGCAGCGTCTTCTATCTGGTTTCTGTTGCCAACTTGCTGCTGCTTCTTGGTGGCCAGCTGCCTTAAATATTGTTGGGTGAGTTTCTGTATGCGAAGGAATTAGGGGAAAAGACTTAATACTGTCACTTTCAAGATAACAAGGCTCTGCAGGAGTCATCTCTCACCCCTGCCTTGCGTTTCCGCTGAAGTTATCTGAGACTCGGGAAGGTGAGATGACTTGCCCAAAGTCAAGTAGCAAGTCAGAGGATGAGCTGTAATGAGGGCCCCTCTGGCCCTCAGGGATTCTTCAAACCATGATGCCCTCCCCGCCTCTTTCTAGGACCAGCCTGCTTGTGACCTGATCTTCCAGCCCCTCAAATAGGACCGTAAGGCAAGCAGCGTGAGGACAGGGGAAGAGAATCCACGTACAGAATGAATATTAACTGAGCACCTAACACATGCTGGGCCTTGTTCCGGGAGCTGCCCTTGTGGAACGTGCATTCCAGGGGGGTCTGTGGCCCTCTGGCCTGGACTGGGGTTCAGAAGATCTGCGTGTGTGAGAGATCTGTGGGGTTCATGCTCCCCTCCTCTCCCTCCCACCTGAAATGGCTCCCTTCCCTACCTCTGCTTTTTGCAATAGATACTTTACCAAAGGCCTGCTCTGTGACCCTCTCCCCACCAGTGGAACTTTACCCCCTCCCCTCCCCATCCCAGCTGTCTTTCTGCTGGCCTTATCCTCCACTGTGGGGTCAACCGGTAGCTTCCCGAGGGCAGGCCTGCTCCATTCCTGGCTCCCCTATAGAGACCAGAGGGTGACCTAGAAGTGCTGGCCGAATCAAACAGAATTACTAGGGGCTGCCAGCTTCAACTGGAGCCACCCAATAAGTTATGAGCATAAGCCCCAGAGTCAGCCAGGACCTCCTGGTCTGAGTCCTATGAGGTGGCCTGGGCAAGTGACCTCATTCCTCTAAACCTTGGTTTCCTCAGCTGTAAATATGGGGTAGACCTCATAGCATTGCTGTGGAGAATACGTGCTCAATTAAGTGTTTAGTGTAGTGCTTGGCAGACAGTAAGTGATAGAGGAAGCTGGCCTTATTTTAACAGCCAACAAGCACTTGCTACTAGTATGTGCACAGTTTGATTCTAGGTGGGGTGTGGGATGGGGACACAATAGTAACCCAAGTTCCGGGAGCACACCCTTATCCCTCTGTGATTTCCAGGCCTTCAAGTCCAGCTCCTGTCCATCACCCAAGGGTAACTTGGCCTCCTGATGCCTGTGCCCTCCAGTCAGAGGCTATTTCTCCTATCTTGGTACTTGGTGAAGCCCTCCTCATCCTTCAAGGCCAGTTCCAATGGCAGCTCCTCCAGAAAATCTCCATGGGCTTCTTGCCCCTGGTTCACACTGTCTTCTATCTGGCTCCCCACTGACCATTAGGATTCCTGGTTACAAAACTTACCACACTGTATTCCCACCCTGCCAGTCCGGGAACTCCTCCAGTCTGGGAAGAATTGACCTATTCCTTGACTCATGGCACAAGGTATGTGCTAAATGGATGTTTGATGAATGAATGAATGAATGAATGAAGGGAGGGATGGATGACAGATAAATAGGTGAGTGAGTGGTGTGTGGATACAAAATGAGTACCCATAGGTAGGAGGGCAGACTTACCTACGAGACCCACAGCCATATCTCTGGACAGCACCCTTAGCAACTGGAAGACAGTCTTTTGAGGAGCTATTATCATCACAGCCATTTCATATAAGAAAAGGAGGCCCTTAGGGGCACAGGCAGGCCTTGAACCCAGGACCCCACTTGCTGGACTGGCCCTCACAGGGCCCATTCTCACCTCAGAGCTCGAGGAAGCCTCCTTTCTTCTCTTCCCAAAGCAATCTACATTTCCCCTACCTGGCCCTCCCTTTCCCTCCAACTGTGACTTAAAACTTCAGACGGCAGGGACAAATTCTGTCTTACCTGTTTCCCAGCCTGGAAAAGCAGGTGCTTAATTGTTATTTGTGGAACAAATCAAGAAAAGGAAAGTGTAGGCAGATGCTGTTGCCTCCCTCACACGGCCCCAGGGTGAGGCCACTGACTTTTAATACCCTTAATCTCCTCCCTGTCTACACTCTACGTGAGGGTCCACTCTCACCTTGGAGCTCCAAGGTTGTTAACCATGTGGTAGTGTTAAGTCACGCCACACAAGGGAAAGGGCCTTCACTGTGGGGCTGGCAGACTTCCTGGAGGTGTTAGTGGGAGAATCCTGTGCTAGAGATGGGTGGGCCGCCTAACCCGGAGAAGTGGAGGGATTTGACCTGAGCCACCAAACAAGGAAGGGGCCACAGGCTGGAGCAAGAGCCCAGAGCCCCTGCCACTATTAGGATTAAACAAGGGGGAGGGTTCCCAGGTGAGAATAGACCCCATGGGGGCAGTCCACCGCGTGGAGTCCTGAGTTCAAGAGCTGCTTCTGCCTCCAGAGCTTTCCTTTCCTTATCGATACAATGGCCGTCCTCGCTCCCACCAGTGATGCCTGTGGAACTGAAGCGGGTGTGGAGAGGGAAGGGCGGGGCAGGGTAGGTAGAGGATGCCCCTAGCGCAGGCAGGCAGTCCAAGCCCCTCTCTGTGGGCGCCAGGAGACAAAACCAGAGACCTTTATGTAGCTTCCCAGGCTGCCAGGCTGTTTTCCCATAGAAAGGGATTTTAATCTAGTTTAAAGGCAGATTTTCTTCTGGCCCCAGAGCAGTGTGGCGGGTCCGCCAAGGTGGACGAGGTCAAGGGTACCTGCGAAACAGCCAAGGCTCCCGCGTCCTCACTCTCAAACCCACCTGTTCTGCAGGTAGACTGGTGGCCGTGGCTCGCATTCGTTCTCATTATGAACAATACCTAGGTCGGCCGCCGGGCTGCCTTGGGGTTTCCGGGTCCTAACGGGGAACTGGGGAGCTGGCGGTTGGACCCCGGGCTCGCCCCGCGCCCCCCGCTCCCGCCCCGCGCGCCGCAGCGTCCCCACCTGCACGTGCGCCGCCTCTTCCCGAGCCAGGCCCACCGGGTGGCCGCGGTGCGCGCCCAGCACCGGGCAGAGCGCGCACACGCAGCGCCGGCAGCGGCGACAGAAGAGCTCGGCCACGCGGTCGCCATGCTCTGGGCAGCGCCAGCCGCACGTGTCCTCCGACTCGGCGGGGCCCGGCCCCCCAGGTGTTCGGCTTAGGGCCCCCGCGCCCGCCATTCACTCCCACTGTTCGGCGTCGCCGGGGCAGGAGGAGCGCTGGAGGGGAATCGAAACCGGACCGCGGGGCGGGGCGGGGCCCCGGCTCTGGCCGGCCCCGCGCTGGGTTGGAAGATGGCAGCGGGCCACGGCCGGGGGCGGGGTGGGGGACCGTGGCTGCCTCCTCACCCTCCCGACCCGCAGGGTGCTCGCCCGCCCCACCTGCCCCCACGGTCCTTGAAGGCTCAGGCCTGGTCTAGCGGCTTTGTGCCTGGCCTAGAGGTGGTGGCCGCAGCAGAAATGGGGGTCCGCTCCTGCACCCCTTAAAAACAAAACAACCGGTTCTTTTCCCAGCAAAATGGATTTAGTGGGGCAGAGCAGAGGAATTGCAATTCGGGACAAGCAAGCTATTGCAAAAACCATGGGCAAGTCCGACCAGGAGGGCACTGGGAGGGGTCGTTCTGAAGGGAAGTCCATGAAAGGAAAAGTGGAAGTTGAGGGCGCTGACAGCTTCTCATTGGCTGAGTTGCTGGGCAACAAGGAAATCTTCCTCCGCGGGAGTAGTCAGGGAGGACCCACTCGCATTGACAATTCTTCCCGGTGGGGTGTGTATTGATTTAGAGGGTAGTAGTGCCTGAGGGCTCCCCCTTCTGGCCTCCCCACTCTAAATGAGGGTTCCCTTTATTTTCACATTCCTATTGGGCTAACTGGAAGGAGGTGGGCTCCCCCACCCTTTAGTGAGGCTAGTCTAGCCCTGTCGATGGGACCAAGTTAGCTGTGGCCTTCCGGGTGGTATGCATTTACCTACACTTTTCACTTTCCCTTGATTCTCTCTCGCCATTTCCCCAGGAGAAATAACCTTTCCCACAATTTTAAGAAACACCCTGGAAACTCCAATTGCCCCCAGGTTAAAGTCTCAACCTCAACGGTTAATAATGCAGATTTGTTTCCCAGTAGATGGAGTCACACATATATTGATATATATGCGATTTGATATGCTATTTTGTTGTATTGACAACAAGCTTCAAAACTTCATATGTCAAATTTTCTGAAGGTGTTACCATCATAGATATTTTTACGCTTAAAAATGTTGAATTTCATGCCAAAAAAGAGCATTTGCGGGAAGTTTTAATTCATTACCTTATTTTGAAGAAAAGTGCTGCTGAAAGTTATCGTATACTTCTGGAAGCTTACGGCGAACATGCTCCATCTCAAGATACTTGTGAACGCTGGTTTAAACGCTTTAAAAGTGTGGATTTCGATGTGAAAGACTAAGAACGTCCAAGTCAACCGAAAACGTTTGAAGACCAACAATTACAAGCATTATTGGATGAAGATGCATATAAAACTCAAAAACAACTTGCAGGAAGATTAAGCGTTGCTCACAATTTGCCATCATTTGCAAGCAATGGGAAAGATTTTAAAGGAAGGAAATGGGTGCCACATCAACTGAACAAAAGACAAATGGAAAACCGAAAAGTCCTCAGTAAAATGTTGCTTCAACAGCACGAAAGGAATTCTTTTTTGCATCAAATTGTGACTGGCGATGAAAAGTGGATTTATTTTGAGAATCCCAAACGCACAAAATTGTGGGTTGATCCAGGTCGACCATCAACATCGACTGCAAGGCCAAATGGCTTAGGAAAGAAGACAATGCTCTGCATTTGGTGGGATCAGGAAAGTGTGGTGTATTGTGAGCTTCTAAAATCAGGTGAAACTGTTAATACTGATCGCTACCGATAACAAATAATCAATTTGAACCACCAGATTGTAAAACCACCAGAATGGGCCAGAAGACACGGCAAAATAATTTTGCTTCATGATGACGCACCATCACACACTTCAAAACCAGTTAAAGACATGTTGACAGATCTTGCCTGGGAAGTATTAACCCACTCGCCGTATTCACCAGATTTTGCTCCTTCAGATTACCACTTGTTCCGATCGATGGCACACGCACTTTCTGAGTAGCACTTCAAAACGTACGAAGAAGTGGAAAATTGGGTCTCTGAATAGTCTGCCTCAAAACAAGAAAAGTTCTATTGGAATGGTATCCACAAATTACCTGAAAGATGGGGGAAATGTGTAGCTAGCAATGGACATCACTTTGAATAAAGCAGTTTTGATGTTTCTCTTGAAATGATCGTGTTTTCTTTGATTACAAAATCCACATTACTAACCGGTAAATGGTCAATCTGCATTTTTAACCGGTACGGGTTAAAAATGGACTATTTGTTATCGGTAGCGATCAGTATTAACAGTTTCACCTGATTTTAGAAGCTCACAATACACCACACCTTCCTGATCCCACCAAATGCAGAGCATTGTCTTCTTTCCTAAGCCATTTGGCCTTGCAGTCGATGTTGATGGTCGACCTGGATCAACCCACGATTTTGTGCGTTTGGGATTCTCAAAATAAATCCACTTTTCATCGCCAGTCACAATTTGATGCAAAAAATACTTCCTTTCGTGCTGTTGAAGCAACATTTACTGATGACTTTTCGGTTTTCCATTTGTCTTTTGTTCAGTTGATGTGGCACCCATTTCCTTCCTTTAAAATCTTTCCCATTGCTTGCAAATGATGGCAAATTGTTTGCTGAGCAACGTTCAATCTTCCTGCAAGTTGTTTTTGAGTTTGACATGCATCTTCATCCAATAATGCTTGTAATTGTTGGTCTTCAAACTTTTTTGGTTGACCTGGACGTTCTTTGTCTTTCACATCGAAATCATCACTTTTAAAGCGTTTAAACCAGCGTTCACAAGTATCTTGAGATGGAGCATGTTCACTGTAAGCTTCCAGAAGTATACGATAACTTTCAGCAGCACTTTTCTTCAAAATAAAGTAATGAATTAAAATTTCCTGCAGCCCTAACCGGTTTGGCTCAGTGGATAGAGCATCGGCCTGCGGATTCAAGGGTCCTGGATTCGATTCCGGTCAAGGGCATGCACCTTGGTTGTGGGCACATCCCCAGTGGGGAGTGTGCAGGAGGCAGCTGATCCATGTTTCTCATCGATGTTTCTAACTCTCTATCCCTCTCCCTTCCTCTCTGTAAAAAATAAAAAACAAAAACAAAAAAACTTCCTGCAAATGCTTTTTTGGCATGAAATTCAACATTTTTAAGTGTAAAAATATCTATGATGGTAACACCTTCAGAAAATTTGACATATGAAGTTTGGAAGCTTGCTGTCAATACAACAAAATAGCATACATATCAAATCGCATATATATCAACATATGTGTAACTCCATCTATTGAAAAAAATCCGCATTATTAACCAGTACACCTAGTAAATGGGTACAGCCATTATGGAAAACAGTGTGGAGGTTCCTCCAAAAATTAAAAATAGAACTACCATATGACCCAGCAATCCCACTTCTAGTCAGTATGTTGAAGAGATAGCTGCACTCCCGTGTTCATTACAGCAGTATTCACAATGCCAAGATATAGAGACCACTGAAGTGTCCCTCAATGGGATGAATGGATAAAGAAGATGTGGCATAAGCATATACAGTGAAACTTTACTCAGACCTAAGAGCAGAAGTCCTGCCACTTACACCATGGATGAGCCTAGAAGTCATTATAACAAGTGAAGTAAGCCAAACAGAGGAAGACCTAGTCCTAGATGGTATCACCTATATGGGGAATCTAAAAAAAAAAAAAAAATAGTTGATTGTGATGATTATTTCACAGTGTGTGCATATATTAAACCATCACATAGTGAAACTTAAAAAAACCACGTGCAACCTAAATACGTACAGTTTTTATCAATCATAACTCAATAAAGCCGGGGGTAGGGGATGCGGGCAGCTCTCATCTATAAGGCCTTTGGCTTTTTTGTTGTTGTTAATCCTCAACCAAGGATATTTTTCCCATTGATTTTTAGAAAGAGTGGAAGGGAGGCAGGAAGGGGGAGAAAGAGAAAAATCATGTAAGAGAGATATATTGATTGGTTGCCTCCCTCACGTGGCCCCAGTCATGGGGATCGAACCTGCAACCCAGGCACGTGCCCTTGACCGGGAATCAAACCTGAGACCCTTCCGTGCATGGGCCGACACTCTAACCACTCCAGGGTGAGGCCCTTGACTTTTAATACCCTTAATCTCTGCCCTGTCTATGCTCTAATCTTGGCTTATTTCCAGGCCAGGGAACAGGCAGTTTTATCTGCTTTGAATACACTTCCCCCAAATGCTCCCTGCCCTGCTTGCTCCTATTTACCCTTCAGTTTCTGCCTAAATATCACCTGCTCCAGGAAGCCTTCTTTGCTTCTCCTCCCAAAGCAGCCAACATTTCCCCTCTCCTGGCCCTCTCTCTCTCTCTCCAACCATGGCTTAAAACTTCAGAGGGCAGGGACAAATTCCCTTTTACCTATTTCCCAGCCTGGAAAAGCAGGTGCTTACTTGTTATTTGTGGGACAAATCAAGAAAAGGAAGGTTCCATGTATTAAAATGTGTCGGCAGGTACTGTTTATTTTGTTATATTCTTTCCATAGCACGATTCCACATCTATTTATTTTCACTTTTATTATTATTATTATAATTATTATTTTTTTTTACAAAGGTACATGGAATTTCAGAAACAACATTAAAACAATCAAACTGTTCAGGCACGGTTTCATAGGAAAAGCATAGCTCAATGTCTGACTTCCTGCGTCCCTCTATGATACTCAAGTTTTGTTCCAGGAAGAACAATTGCTGTAGCGCTAAAGTGGAGATGCCCTAAAGCTCATCTCCCAGTGCTGTCTTCATTCCCGGAAAGTTCCTGAGTCAGCAGTTGGGGGTTCCCAGGGCCTGGAGTAGAAAGACCAGTGCACATTCCGTCGCCCTGAGCGCAAGGGACTGGCCCTGCAAGTCCCGGGCAAGTCCCACTTCATCAATCAAGAACATAAACAAAAAAGTAATTTTTAAAAAATGGCTTAAAAAAATATCTGATAAAAATTACCTATCCCGCTCCCTTGCTGTGAAATAATTTAAATAATTTATTCTAGATGTAAAAAAAGAAAAGAAAAGAAGAGAAACCGTTTGTTCATGATGCCTTCGCATTGTTTCGAAGGGTGAGGTCTGGGCCCCTTTGGGGTAGAGAG